GCACCAAGTACTTGTTATCAGGTGTCCCGATTTCCCCCTATTTTTTGAGGCACTTCCCTTCTATTTCCTACATATAGTTGTTCCACAAACACAATATTCATCTTCCCAAAGCCTGCAAGGTTTAGTCTGGTACTCAAAATTCACAGGTATTACTTCAGTTTCATACAGGATAAACATGTTTAGCAGCAGTTTTCTTAAACCTTTGAAGAGGTTTGTCATTTAAATTAGCTCCCTGAGCAAGTTGGATGAGCTATCCCTTCAGGTTTCATCTTGCACATAAAGAGGTCTACTGAATACATTGCGTATTGTTTGTCAGGGAGACAGTGTACTGACAATCCCATCTCCTCACAGTGCAACTTCCAGAGTGCTTCTGCTGTCTTGTTGCTCACCAAAACCATGCACGAGGAAGCAAGCAGTTAAGTTCACCAATTGATAACGTGAAGTGAAGCCGTACTAAACATGAGCCCCCAAACAGCCCCACAAAAATAACTACTTATTGGATCTGCCAGCAGCATTATACATCAGAGAACTTCACAGCCAGTATTTTGCGTGTGCCCAGACCTTTGATTAGGAGTGTAAGCTACCCCAGCACTGCCAGCACTGTTTTATGGATTACAGGTAAAGAATCCCTTAAAGTTTGTACTGAAAGGGATCCTTACAGTTCAAGTCTTCACTCATCTACATACTCAATTTTCCCTTCTTCAGTGCTTTTTGATCAGTTCTGCCATTGAAGGCAAAAATCTGCCAGAAGTCCTCTCCCACAGGAGCAGTTGCCAAGGCAGAGCAAATTGTATCCTCTCCAGCACTCCAACATCCAGATCAGTGTGCAGACTTGGAAGCCTTTGGCTTGTACTGCTACAGGTTCCACTGCACCCCACAGTATATGCAGGGGTCTGCATGGTGTTTCTGCTGCCTTTTTTTAATCCCCCGTTAGCTCTTGCTATTTCGTTTGCTCTGCTTGCTACTGAACTTAAGGCCATGCTGTTTCTTTGAAACACATTCTACCTACCTGGTGTAATTACTTAGTGATGCCTGCCAGGTTGACACTGCAAGATTTCCATCTGCTGTGGATTGTACTCCTAACCCACTCTCTCTGAATACATCAAAGTAGCCAGAGGCTTTGTATATGGCAGAGAGAGATGCAACTGACTAACATTATCCTTTGCTGCAGCAGTAAATGACTGGAAGCCAGTATCAATACATTTCTCAGCAGCTTTGCATGTTAAGACTGAACAGATGAACAGCAAAAGTAGCAGCATGTTCTGTAAGGGATACAGGGAGAAAGATTACTCAGTGAGAAAATGCTAGAAAACCCATCTTAAATTCTTATAAACCCATCAGACTATTTGAAGTAGTAAGCAGAATATAAGATACTTTACCAATGGCAATGACCTTTCCCCAACAGAACTTTGTTTATTTATGCTTCTCTTTCCTGCCTCATGCTTATTCCATTCATCCTCCCATATCCTCTGTTTTCCACCATTCTTGGAGATCCCCTATGGTAATCCTACACTGCTGTGCTTTTACTTTAAATACTTTCTCAATGTCACCAAGTGGCTTGTTTCCAACTATAAAAGACCCTGCTTTCCCCCATTCTTGTTTGGGAGCATAGAGTCAAAAGATGCTTCTGGGTTCCTAGTTAGTACTGTCTCAGCAGCAATTCTCCCATCTCCAGCATTCTGCCAGATTCCTCAGCTCTGCAGTCCATCACTGTAAGTACCACACCCCCACTCTCACTACAGGCTGTTCATTCCTCCCTCCTGCCTCAGTCTTGGCCACTTCTCCCTGCTCTCCTGACCTTCAATTACTGTAATGCACCTATGCAAGAGCTTCCCTTAGGGGACAGGATGGCATTGCATTGCACCAGGTCCTGTGCAAGAACCCTTCACATCTCAATACAAGCAGCAGTCTAAGAAATTCAGCTGCCAAACCATGGAGCACACTGCAGGGACTCCTCTCCAACAGAAGAGACACTTCTGAAGAAACACTTACTTGGTTTCCAAGAGGTTTAGTCAACCTGAACATACTAATGAGAACCATTTCTCTAACACTTGTATACTGTTCTGAAAGCAACAGTGGAAATGCTTTTGGTATTCAGGTCATTTTTCCCTTAGTAAAGAAAGAAACATGCAAAGTAGTTTTGTTCGTTTTAATTGGTCATTGGTTATGTTGTAATACACTTCAAAATATTCTGTTCAAGGACATTGTGTCAAACACTGAATCTACTTTTAAACAAAGCTTATTTGACTATATTACCTTTATATACATACAGGTATAATTTTAATTTCACTAGTAACAAAATTACTCAGTACATTGCATTACCTGAACAATGGCAAAAAATAGGACTTAAATATCTGTTCTGTCCTTCCACACACACCCCAGACCAGAAAAATCACAGATATAGAAATTACAGTCACAACTACAGGTAAATACAATAAGGTCCTCAGAGCAAACTAAGTCCTTAGAGATAACAGTCACTTTTAGAAGTGTACATTGCAAATATACAGTACATTCCACTAAAGAGTTTCAGGAGTTCTCACAATGCCTTTTTCATAAAAAAAAAGCTTCTATGACATGTATCCTTCATAAAAATGACTGAATCTGCATTTTTGGATCATGTGTTTGGAAGCTGAATGCAGTTTAAACTGCAGTCTACAATAAGCTCATACAGAGAGCAAGCAAACATTACAAGATTCATCAAGATCAGAAAACACAGGTCAACTGAGTCAGCTTTTGCTCCTGGTCACTGGGCATCTGTTAACTAGAGCTACTCTGCACAAGGGACAGACTCAGGAGGTGGGAAATGATACATTCCTTTTACAGCTTTCACAGGTCAGTCACCTACAAGTTATTGACAGAAAATGTTAGTCAGTTGACTCAAAGCACCGGCAACTGTACAAGACTAATTTGAACTTACTTACAAAGCATTCAATACATTGCAATTGTTAGGCAATAAAAGACATAGCTAAGCAGCAACAAGGTTTCCACATTTATGCTACCCCTGAAATACCACAGTGAGAAGCAGAAAATGCAATGGCCAATGACTATGCAAACATACTGCTGCTGCTAGGGTAACTGCAGTCTGGCCTTGGGAGGTGGAATAGGGCAGGTAACCCAGAAATCCAAAAGGGCAGCCAAGATTTCGGTTATGCTCAAACTCTGCTTTGGTTTGTGCAAAATATTAATTTGTGCATGCAGCTCTGAGATGTAGTCTGCATTCAGGAAGGAACTGTTAGTCTGTGCTTGGCAGGACAACACTGGAGAAACCTTCTAGAATCAGCCAGAAAATGGAGGTAAACAAGGCATTTTTCATGAGCACCAGTTACCCTCACTGGTGCAATGCCAAGGACTTTGCCACTGTTCCAATGAAACATACTTCATCAGCACTGTTGTAGGTTTTCCATTCTGTAATTGCTGAAGGAAGTTGCCATTTATTAGCAAGCTATATGGACTCTACCCAGGTAACAATGCAGAGGAACTTCGCCCATGAGGATGACTAGGAATCACTGCCCACTAACAATACTGAGCATAACCCTGTGATTTAACATGAATGTAAGTGCTTAACTGCTCATTTTCTTTATCTTCCCTGCTGTTAAGTTCAAGAAAATCTGACAGCACTAGAAAACACCAAACAGGCATGCCAAAGGTTAAAGACAAACTGATTTACTCCAACATGGTCAAAACACACTCTTCTCCATTTGGTAGGTTCTAGCCACAAACACTCTTAACACCAATTCTTCTTCACAGATCTCTAGTTTAAAAGCTGAGTTGCCTGACTCTCCAAATGTAACAGCAATATAACATAAGCAGCTTAATTCAGAAATAAGTAGTGGAAACCTGCTCAATCATTTTAAGTCCTGCTTTATCGCAACTTCTGCGAAAAAACAGCAGGCACTTGGTACTAACCCTTGCCTATATATAGCTAGTCAGTAGCACTTCTAAAAGGGTTGGAAAAGCATGTTACAAACCAGGTTCTTTCTATTTGTCTAGACCTGGTTTTAGCAGAGGTAGGTAGGAATAGGTCAATGAAGAAAGAATTGGAATACATTAGAGGTGTAGGTTAGAGTCTGGATGTTCTCCTCTACTCTTCCCTTAATCTATGTTACACTGTTATTTCCTGCTCTTGCAAAAAACATGTCAAGCTACTCACTTTTAAGAACTGGCTCCTGCTAGGCTGCGAAGAAGGCATGGTATCAGTTGTCATTACAGACAATGGAACTACAACATGGGCCAGAAGGCACTGTGTTTTGGTGCAAGAGTCAAGGAGGTGCTTCACAACAGAACTTCAAGTGCCACATGTGAAGTCTGGTAGATAGATCAACCTACTGACAACACTCAATTACCTCAACCTCAAGGTCTTTGGTCAGCAGAAGTAGGTATCAAGTCTAGCTTTCAGGGCAAGATTTCACTTCAACATTTCAAAATTTAACTGTGCTATGAATAATAAGCATGAATGGAAAGTATACACTTCAAGTGCAGAGCAAATTCATAGTATCTAATCAAGTCTCAGTTTTATCAATTTTTCTGCATCCTATTCTAAAAGCTTTTCTGCTTGGGGGGTGAAATGTGTAATAGTTTGAGTGCAGTCCTATCCCATACAGCAGACAACCAATTAACCAATGAACTACAGAGCATGTGAAAGGCTGAAAAACCCTCATTCCCAGTTTTTCTATTTGTTACTGTTTTAAGATTAATTCAAACAGATCTTCTGGACTTTTTCTTCCAAATGACCCTCTCCTTTAATAGCAACATTAAAACTCAACCTATGTGTATATAAAATTTATTTTAACTTTTCTCTTCCCAGATTCCTGTAACTGAAAAAATTGAATATAAGTGCCTTACACTATGAAAGACCTTTAGTAGTCCTCATTTTGCTCTATCTTCTAAAGAAAACAGTTTACTAAGTTCATGTTAACCAGTTGAATTTTTAATGTTTGCTTACAAGGCCTTAGTGAAATCCTTTTTTTTTTTTTTTTTTTTTTTTTTTTTTTTTTTTTTTTTTTTCACATTGAGGGCAACACAGCTAACTCGTAACATTTACACAAGAAAATCCCACCCAGAAAGTTTCACTGTCAAGATTTGAGATACCAAACTGAGCATCTCCCAGATTAACACCAAAATTCAACTACGTTGAAAGGAGCAGGACATAGCAATCAGTCAGATACCCCACTGAGGACCAGAGCTGACTAAGTAAGGTGAGGGATCCTGTCAACCTGACTGAAATTTCAGTAATTATCAAGTAGCTCTTGGAAGAATCCACAGCCAAACTTCAGGATTTTCCATTATTTTAAAAAGTGAGAATCAATGTCAAAAGATCTTCAGTTCCAGATGAAAAACTTACACTCATGTTTCCCTTCTCACTTAAAATCACACCCAAGGTTTTTCTCCACTGTTAAAGTTATGCAAACTAGAGAAATAAACAGAGAAATGTAGACATGATCCAAAAAATGCTATGTAACATACAAGGCAGAATAAGATACTTTCCTCCCCATTTTCAATTTTTTATACATTTTTTAAGAAATGAGCAATTAAAAATGTGTCCCTAAAAATTAAGTTGCCCGTATGTGCTGAGAGGAACATGGGTTTTTTAAGTAGTCCTTCCTTATTAAAAGGAGCTCCCTCAGAAATGCTTTATCCCTCAGCTGTATATAGGAGTCTTTTTAAACCTATTACTAGATATTATTTGCCCTAGAACTGTAAAAAGCTATACACATCTCCAACCAACCTATCCTACCTGCAGAAGCCTTCAATTTCCATGGATGTGGACCACACATACAGAGAATTAATGAAGAGTCCCAAGGAAAAAAATTAGCTCTTCCTCTAAATCAGACATCGTTACCTGATTTTTATGAAGAAATCTACTGAGATTTAAGAATGCATCAAAACAGAAACTGAAATACAACTGCAGCTATGAATAATATAAAACCTTCCTGATTCATAACTGATCCTGACTTCCATCTTAAAAAAAAAAAAAAATCACAGTAGCTGAATATGTATATGAATAGACACAAACCCTTTTATCAGATGTTAGTAAGTAACTGTGTTGGATCTAAGCTTAAAGACTATGAATTGCTGTGTTCACAAGTCTCTACACCAGCTCTCAGGCTGGGTGGCAGTGGAAAATCTCATCCAACACACTGTTCAGTTGGCTTTAGAATCATGTTTTCTGTTTAGATGTTCGTCAGCTGAAGAGTTACCTCTGATAATGGTACAGCTTCCCTCAGCAAAGCACGAAAAATGTATAAAACTAGATCATCAAAATATCCCCTTGAATGCCCAACTGTTCTATTTAAGATACTGTTGCCAAAGTTTTAATACCACAACACCAACTTCTAACATTTTCAAACTTACTATGAAAATTACATTTTGTTACTACACACTGCATAACAGTCATTGGTCATTTGCATTCATTCACTCCAGCACTAGTGAAAAACTGCGTTCTGCGTAGAGATAAGAAAATATGACAAGTTTTGTTATCAAGATGTCTCTCTACTCATCTGGCACTAGCCAGTGCATGGAAGGCAAGTGAGCAGAAATCCACTGGTCTACCAATATATCCCATGTTTTCACATACACTGATGTCATGCACATCTCAATAATACAGAAATTCAGACATGCAGCAAGATTTGTTAAAGCACTTTAAGTGCTCTCCACATGATAATGTGTAATGCAGTATTTACTCAAGACAAATCAAAGCAGAAAAAAATATTTTGTGCTTGCACTTCAAGTTTCAGAATAATATTATTTCTATCAGAGTATCTGAAATCCAGTGGAAGGAATGCTCCACTGAAATCCGAAGCAAAAGACTATTTAAAAAACTAGGAAAATAAGTACTGGTCATACTGCCTTCCAAAGGTTCATAATAAATAACAAACAGCATGAACACACAGACCTTAAAGTCAAGATTTGTTTCTAGATTCATATCTTAAAAAAATTAAAAATCAAGAACAACCCTGGCTGACTTTCCCACATTTGGGGTCTTTTTGGCTGAACAACTGTTACTTTATTGTAAGGAACACAGGTATTATCAGAAAACATTATTTACATAATGATTATCAGATTGATTACATAAAATATAGCTGAAAATATACACTTTCAGGTTTGAGATAAGCAAAGCAAAGTCACTGCTGATAACTGAAGCACTCTGAATAAGGCAAAAGGCATCAAACATCAAAACTGAATCACGAAACTACTGAAAGTAACAGAAATTTGGGAAGGTAGAGGTAAAGCAAAGAGCAGTGAAACTGGAATGATTCATAATTAATACCAGTATACCAGAAATCATGGAGCTTCATTAAAATTCTATTTTACCATATGTAAAACTGAGAGGAAGTGTTTACTTCCAAGACTGATTTCTTCAAGTACTAAGCAGCTGTTTTCTTAATGCACCCAATGCTGTGTATTCTACATCTTACAAAATACATGACCACATTTAAGTGCACAATTAGAAACTATGCTGAAATCATGGAAAAGTGCTTCATAAATCATAGGTGCAATAAAGTCACAACAATGCTCAGCTCTAGTTCTTAGAAGTAGTTCTGTAAAATACAAAGTTTTAGAAAAGGGACTTCGATCCCTGGTTTTCAAACTCTGACCATGCATCATTCAATTCCATGAAGATCATTTTGGCGTACTGCTCATAAGGTTGTCCTGTGGCCTGGAAATAAACAGTACATATTAAAAGCATAAAAATATTAGGAATTATGTGACTTAGGAAAGATCTCATCCCTTTTATATTTACTATCTTATTCAACAACTTCAGACTACTGCGTGAATATAATTTTTCAGGCACAAAGCTCTCCCCAATCTTATCGAAAGTTTGCCATGAATATTTTCAACAATGCCAAAGCCTTGGTTTCCGTACATTACTTCAAACTTTTAGTGCAACTCATAACTGAAACTTAGAAGCAGTCTTCCAAACTGCTCTCTTCATGGTTTTAGTTAATATTAATGATCAAATTAACTCATTTTTGAAATTGCTTTCTGACAGACCCTGCAGTAGCGTACAAGAATAAAATTCAAGCCCTATTTAAAACGAACTCCTTTTGGACAGGATTCCCTGGAGAAAAATCTGTTACTGACTGTGAATGATGTTAAGATTCAACATTAACAACATAGCATTTCCTGTGTGTTTGCTTCCATACTCAAGAGAATTATGCTCCTGAATCCCTGCCTATTTCACAGCAGCCCTGCCTCTGGGCCAACGCAGCCAACACAACCACCGCAGTGAGTAAAGATTCAATCCCTCAAGATGAGTCATTTTAACAGGTTCCAACACAAAAGGGAAACCCTAGAGTCCTCTACAGTATCCTTTCCCTTCTCTTGGTGCTTGTTTTTTGCCAACTGCAGTATTTTATAGACCCTTTCAGGAACTGCTTTAACTCAAAAGTGGCAGAAAAAAAGGAAGAAGAAAATGCCTCAAATAGACCTGTATTCTGACACTAATGGAATAAGGGGTTTACAGAAAGCATCAAAACACCACCACAAAGGTGGAGAAAATCACATGGTCAAAACCAGCAAGGCAGCGGGGGAGGGCAGGGGCAGTGTGCAGCCGAACAATATCTTGTTTCTGTGTTATGGATACAAGACATAGGACTTAAGACTACTACTCAATGAACCACCAGCGAAGGCAAGCTTGTGTGAGAGACAAGAAACCAGGCCTGTGAGAAACTAAGACAAACAGCCTGGGAAAGCAAAAGTTGAGGCTGATTGAAGATATGCCTCAAACACTCGCAAGACAAAACTGAGTCACAGGGTGCATGCTGTGGAGGCTGAAGCTGATAACGCTGCCCGATGTAGCTGGGGGACAGAGCCCTGTGGAGACAGGACGGCTCTTCTCTGGAGCACCTGGGCAAATTTCAAGGGCCATGTGTCCGGTGAATGAACTTTGCTTCATTATCCATGAAATGCATATTAAAGTTGACACCCCTCAATATGCTAACGAGGGCTGTCATGATCATGCTAATTGCATCATCCCATGAAACACCTTACCCACCCCCCCTGTACATGGGATATGTAGGTTTGTGGGTTGACCTAGGGGACGGACCCAAGGAAAGTGGGTATAAATCAAAGGGGAGAAGAAAGGGCTCTCTCTCTGCCCCTCTCTCTCCGCCCCTCTCCCTGCCCCCCCGGCCGTCTGAAGAGAGCAGTGAAGCGAAGACAATGGATGCCAGCAAAGAAGACGGCTGCCTCCTGGAACCCTTGCTGGCAGGATCAGTGCAAGAACCTAGACCGGTGATCTGTATTCCCCCATTCCCTCTATCTCCCTCTTTTCCTTTTTCTGTTAAGAAATGCGAAGCATATTATATTGCTCTCCACAACTTGCTCTGTACTTAGCCAATTATCATGTGTTCAATTAGTACATTGTAGGTAGTTAATAAATGCTTGAACTTGGAGACTTGTTGTCCGCTCCAACTGGGGATTTGAGAATCTGAGTCACTTGTCCCCCTCGTCGGAGCGGGACGTGACAGCTTGACAGTTCAAACCAGGAATATTCAAACACTTTATATCTAAAACACAGCCTAGTACAATGACTTAGAACAAGAAGCTACCTTCATACATTGGAAGACTAACAGACAGCAATGAAATGCATTAAATATTTTAAAGACAACTGGAATGTCATATTGATCAAGTATTTTTCAACTGCTAATTTGTTTAGTGAAGTTTACTTTCCTAGTAAAGTTGTTTACTAAAAGGAGGTTCAGGAGGCTTTTCCCACCAGTTTTGCTGTGGCAGCCTCTGAGTCTTCATATATTGGTGAAGAGTCCTAAAGACCTGAAGTATCAGCCGGTAGAAATAAAGGAGGTTCCACTAATCAGCACTAAACCTGACAGGAGTCAGTCTGAACCCAGCATAACTGACTTTGGTGCTCAGTACAACCTTCTTGTGATCTTTCATTTGTTAACATTTATGTCCTGAGTTTGTGCTGTGCCAGGATGACAAGAAAAATCCTGTAGTACCTGAATGCAGTAGGACACAAAATTCAAAAGGCAATGGAAGCAAAGTGAAGAGTATGTAGAGTACTGATCAAGAACCAAGGCTGCAGCATCTGTCAGTAAACTAGTATGGTATGGTAAAAGCAATCTGTATTCCTTCTAAAGGAAAGATCAGAGGTACACACTCACCTTATCTGGATGAACTACAAGCACTGCTTTCCTGTAGTACTTCTTTACTTGTTCAGGAGATACTAGATCTGCCATACTGACCGGTTTCCACTTATTTTCCCCTTCCCAAAGCACTGTATGAAGAGTGGATATTAACGCTCTGATATTTCTCTCTTTTCCTTCAATCCATTCAAGAATCTGGGAAAAACAGAATGTATAGAACGGAATGCAGCACTGTAAGCATTCTCAGTCTACAAACATAACCTTCACTCTGTACAAGACTGCAAGATTAAGTCCAACTGTCTTACTCCATTCTTCTTTCTGGCACCCAGATCATTAGCCACCCAAAAGTGGTATTTTGCATCTGTCACTAGAGAGTAGCGCATTATTAGTTTATTGCAGAAATTCAGTCATTGCAAGAGAAATTACTGAGATAGTTAATATATTACAAAACTCCGTAAAATTAATGACAAGAGAATTGACAGAAGTAATTCAAAACATCTGTTACAATTACATTAACTCCCTATCAGGGGACAACATTAATCTACTAAAGCTTTTACTTTTCTGTGAGTGTTTCAGATCACACATATTAATAGTTAAAGTTTACTTAAGCAACCTGCAGGGGCGCACAAACTAAAGTGTTCTTTCAGACATCCCAATGAAAATTGAGTAGAATAACTGGCCATTTCAGACTTCAACACTATTATTCAAGCCACTGTGATACAGTGATAGAGCATCTTCATTGAACACTGAGTTATGTAATATAAAAATCTCTGCCTTCTATCAGCTACAATTATGATAAATAAAAATCTGTACTTATTTCCATTTACTGTGATTTGTGTTGAGGTACCCATGCAAACTGTGCACACTCTTCAGGTAAGACACTTTGTGAAATCAAATTTCAGCATCCTTCCAAAGTTATTTGATAAACTTTTCTACAGCACCATAAAGCCTACAAAACTGAAGGTGTATTATATACATAGGATGTTATCAATGAGAAATGCATCAAAAATCTGAATAGTTGAGCAGGTAACACCCACAGACTAGCTCTATAGCCCATCTCCAGAACTGCTGGCTTAGGACAGCAGGAACACTTATTAACTGGTAAATGCAAGTAAGTGGTCACTCTGAAGACAGATATTCTCACCTGCCTCTTTTTTGAAGTGTAGTTTTGCATTATCAGAAAAGGTGGATTTGACTAAGACAACCTTTGGGAATAGTAGAGAAAGAACAGTTCTGGCATCAAGAAATGGACTGACAAGAAAATATGTTCTTAAATTCTGCAAGCTCAGCTTAAAAAAAATGGGAACTTGCATTCCATCCACACACTTTTAGTGCTATTGTCTCTCCTCTTTCATTACCAACTGACTTTGGTTCATGCTAACTTCTACAGATAAAATTTCATTCTGCTTCATCAGTTTGCTCTGTTAGTCACTGTATCCTTCTGCTGTGTTACCAGCAGTTCTAAATGTAAGCTCAGATTTTCCCTTAAATCAAAATCTCTGTTAAACAAACCTTGAGTTTAAAGGGGTCCATATCTTTAGACATTTCTTGTTTTCTCATCTCAGCAATGGTCTTTGGTCCCTTTTTATCAGATTTAGCTGAAAACCCTTGATTAGATAAGAGATCCTCAAAGTCATTTTCTGAAACTTTTGGCTTTTGACCTATGAAAGGAGAAGATCATTAAATAAAAAGTTATAGGAGAATACATTAATATACTGCACTTAGATACACCTAAATGACATTTCTCACTACCATGATAAATGTCATTCAGTAGTTTGACAAACTCCACAAGACTAACAGGACAGAAATAAAAGGGATCACTGACAAACTTTTCAGTCCAGCCAAACAGATAACTTCATACGCAGATATGTGACTAAATACTTGTATGTCCTGTTCTTTCAAAAGTGGAAATAGATTTGAGGGAGTAGACATCTACCTATTCATGATTTTGGAAACGGTTCCATTTTTCCACTACAAAGTAATTCTAACTGTTGTGCAGCAGTTTTTCAAGTGACTATATACTCAATACTCTAGTCAAAAGTATGTAGTCAACATTTAAGTTCAAACTTACACAGAATAATGAAAGGATAAAATATCAACATGAATAGTCATCACAGAACCAACAAGTTTTAGAGAACTGTAGAATAACTCAATTCTAAAGAAGTCTCTGTCATTCAGTGCAATCCCCACTCAGAACAGGTGGTAACTAGATAAATTTCTCGGGTCCTTGTCCAGTTGAGGGCCACCTGTTTTCAAGGATAAGGAATCACATCTCTTGCCCCATTTCATGAGGCTAACTGAATTTTTTTCCCTACTCTCCAATTAGGCTCTCCTGTGCTGCAACTTATGCCCACTGCCTCTCCATCCTGCCACCTCTTCCCAGATACAGATCGACAGAACCATTTCAAATTAAAGTTCACTTATATGCCGGTTAAAGGGAGGCAAAATCCTAATACCAACACACCAGGAAAATAAAAATAAAATGTAGAAGAGGCCATGCCTGTACCTCTAGGCTTCCCTATTCATTTGGAACATCTTAAGGGACTGGTTCCAAGGATGATTCCACCTGCTCCCGTCCCTACCCCTGCTTGAAACAGGGATTTCCAGGAAGTTTAACCTCAATCTTTCTTAAGACTAGCTACTATGATTCAGTTAGGAAAAATGTGACATACAGGTAAAAGGATGTAAGAAGCGGACTACCATGAAGCAACATTATCTACCATCTCTCCCTGGATAGATCCAATTTACCTTTCTAACCCAGTGATACAAAACTAGTACCCATGTGGGTAAGTGAATATAGCCCTGAGACTTCATGTCCAAACTTGCAAATATATGGGACATGATCAGGTTGTCTCTGTGATATTCTAGTATAGCTTTGCAAAAGCCGCACAACAGATTTGTCAAGCTCTTGTGATTTCCACTAGATATGACCTAAAAGTAAATAAAAGATGAAAGTACAAATTTCTGCAGCTAATTTAGCACATCTGACTAACTTCACAGGCCACTCAGAAAACTTACTGAAACTTGGTGTTCTGACTCCTCTTTCTTCTCGCCCTCCAATAACACTGAAGTTTACTATGTAATTTGGTTTAGCTGCTGTGCTGGATTTAGTCTGGGACTGCCATGAAGGACTTGGTGGTTTTGTGGATTTCTGCCACTGATTTCCCAGCTTCTGAGATGGAGCAGTCTTCTGACCAAAGCCACTACTCGAGAGCCCACCACTGGAGGAACCTAACAATAAATACTAAATTAGTTGTTCAGCTCATTATCTATCACCTGTTTAATACAAAACAAACAGTTTGGTCTCAACATCAAACATACAGTTTACAGTGATACCATTATACAAGAGAATGTAACAGAAAAGTGTGTGTAAAATGAAGTTAAAAGTCTCATTAAAAAGTAACTGGGATGGCAGGAGATAGAGTCATTACTGAAAGACTTTCAGCCTCTTACAACTCATGCTCTCAACTGTCAGTTTCAGCAGAAACATTCACTCTTATCAGATAAGCCAGACACAGGCACACATAAGGCCAGAAAATAATTTGGCAAACAGTAGTTCTACTTTCCAATTCATTACATTTCAACATCTGTTAATAAGCAGAGGACACTAAAAAAACCCTAATTATATGATCAAGAAAATGTAATATACCTGAAATATTTTCAAATGAATACTTTCTAAGTCTGTAGTGATTTCTTGCACCACTGTTTCACAAAGATGAGACAATTATTCTATAGAAGCAGGCAATGTGGCACATGAGTGAAAAACAAAAAAAGCACTGAAGCCTGCAGGAGATACTGTTGTAAACGCCTGTAATCTATAGGCTGATCAACAAAATATTGACTCAATTTTTAGTATCCCATTTCCCTTCATTAAATCTGTATAAACACTGCTTAGCAGCTTCACCTGCTATTCACTTTGGGAAGAACGCACAAGGCCTTTCTGCTACTCTAAAATATTCATGATAAACAAATTGAGCAGAATAAAGCTTTTAGCTTTAAACGGCTTTAACCTTTTGTCTCACTGATGAGAATAAACCTTAGATTTTTTTTTCTTCTAAACCAAGACACCATTAAATTTACCATTATCACCACTGATTGACTTCCTTTGGAAAGACTCCTAGACACTCAGTTCCCTTGACAAGTTGCACATACATGGCATATACCCATCATAACGAAAAAACAGCATGATGACTCAATTTAGATACATATTTTGGGGGGGAAAAGAAACATTTTATACCACATTATAGCATCATAAAACATATTAAGATCTCTTCACGTTGGAAGAAGTCCCTAAAAATGACAGAATATGAATACAAGACTAGTTGTCAAATATGGTTACACACCCGAAGCCAGACAGAAAGTATAATATGAATGAAATACTGATACTTCAAAACCAGAAATATTTATCACTTGGTTTTGAAAGACAAACTTATGATCTCATCTCCTTATTTCTTGGAGGAAGGTGAATTAATATTTGCATCTCCACATATATTATTAATCAGCTGCTGCTGATTAGAACCTAACTTTCAGCTCAAACATATCCTAAAGCATTTTAGAACTTATTTTCCCCCATTTTATTCACCCTAAAGCCTCAGAAAAAAACACCCAAGCTTGTTTGGGCATATACAGCAATGTAAACTCAGTTTCCTCTTTCACAGCTGGCTCCCCACACGTCCTGATAGCTCCCTCTTGTAGCTGCTGCTCATAGCTGTAACAGCTTACACAAGAGGATGTCTCCCAGGGCCATCTACAAGATGCCATACTATAAACACCACACCTGAGAAAACCTCGTACTGTGATACAATACTTGAAAGATTTAAGATTGCACTGTTTTTTCATGAAAGAACCCAGTTGCATAGGCAACTTAGTCTTCAGTCACTTGTAACTTATGGAATTTACAGGAAAAAAAACCCCGTTAGTAGTCAGAATACATGATCGCGCACACTGAAAAGTCTCATTTCAAAGCATTCTGCATTCACTGTTTCAGTCTTCAAGGCCAACCAATTCTTCCTGTAGGACAAACCAATGCATCACTACCAGCAGCAACTTTTCAAAACTACACTCCTACTTTCTGATACAAGATCATTTCTAGAAATGAAAAATGTGAGAATACCAACTACCACAGAATATACTGAAATCCTACCTCTAGCCTAATACACTACTACTATCACCGACTTTAGCTGTTGTTTCTTTTCTGTTTATATAGTATTCTAAATTAAGCAGCTTTCATAAGTCTTCCTCCAGAATAATGGTTTGTATGTGAAGGCCAAAACAATCCTATGAAAAAAACAACAGCAAGTCTAAACTCCAGTTCTTGCAGCTTCCTGAAAATTCAGTTCAAGCCTAAAAAGGTTAGCACAGTGACATCTGGCTAAATCTTAATACAGTCATTTTTTCTACTGAAAGACTAATGAACTAAACTGCAACAGGGGAGATTCAGACTGGACATTAGGAAAAAAAATTTCAGAGAAAGAGTGGTCAGACAGTTCAGGGAGGGGGTGGAGTCACCATCCCTGGATGTGTTTAAGGGTGGTTTAGATGAGATGCTGGGGCATATGGTGTAGGGGAGAACTTGTAGAGTAGGGCTGATGGCTGGACTCGATGATCCCAAGGGTCTTTTCCAACCTGAATGATTCTGTTAATTGATCTAATTCCTGTTAAAATCAGTACAATTTCTTCCACTAGTTCACTGAGTGCTATACCTGCATCTCCAGGTCAAAGATAAATTGAAATGTCATGCTACATATAGGGACCTGTTAAATCCTATTAATGCAAATCATGTATGTAAGATAATTCCACCAAGAGGGTACTCAATTCAATACACAGTGCTAACTACCAAGGCAACAGGGTAAAACCTGACAGCTCAATCTAATGGAAAAGCACATTTCTGCAATTCAGCAAATCAGCAGTTACAGGCTGTTCCAAGTGATTCCTTGAACTCACAGAATTGTCTAGGTTGGAAAAGACCTTGAATATCATCCAGTTCAACCATTAATCTAGCAGTGACAGTTCCCAAATACACCAGATCCCTCAGCACTATGTCAACCTGACTCTTAAACACCTCCGGGGATGGGGACTCCACCACCTCCCTGGGCAGCCCATTCCAATGCCTAAAAACCTGTTCTGGAAAGAAATGCTTTCTAATACTCAGTCTAAACCTTCCCTGGCACAGCTTGAGGCCATTCCCTCTTGTCCTGTCACTTATTATTTGGTTAAAGAGACTCAGCCCCAGCTCTCTGCAACCTCCTTTTGGGTAGCTGTAGAGGGCCATGAGGTCTCCCCTCAGCCTCCTCTTCTCCAGACTAAACACCCCCAGTTCCCTCAGCCGCTCCCCGTACGACCTGTGCTCCAGACCCTGCACCAGCTTCGTTGCCCTTCTCTGGACACGCTCGAGTCATTCAATGTCCTTTTTGTAGTGAGGGGCCCAACACTGAACACAGGAATCAAGGTGCGGCCTCCCCAGTGCCGAGGACAGGGGTAAGATCCCTTCCCTGTCCCTGCTGGCCACACTAGTGCTGACACAAGCCAGGATGCCTTTGGCCTTCTTGGCCACCTGGGCACACTGCTGGCTCCTGTTCATTGGGCTGTCAATCAGCAACCCTAGGTCCCTCTCTGACTGACAGCTATCCAGCCACTCCTCCCCAAGCCTATAGCGCTGCTGGGGGTTGTTGTGGCCCAAGGGCAGCCCCCGGCATTTGGCCTTATGGAAACTCCTCCAGTTGGCCTCAGCCCATCACTCCAGCCTGTCCAGGTCTCTCTGCAGAGCCTCCCTACCCTCAAGCAGATCAACAATCCCACCCAACTTGGTGTCACCTGCAAACTGACTGAGGGTGCACTCGATCTCCTCGTCTAGATCATCAATAAGGATGTTAAACAGGAGTGGCCCCAAAACTGAGCCCTGGGGGACACCACTCATGACCGGCCGCCAACTGGATTTAACTCCTTTCACCACAACTCTTTGGGCCTGGCCATCCAGACAGTTATTTTACCCAGCGAAATGTGTGCCTATCCAAGCCATGAGCAGCCATTTTTGCCAAGAGAATGCTGTGGGAAACTGTGGCAAAGGCCTTGCTAAAATCAAGGTAGACAACATCCACAGCCTTTCCCTCATCCAATAAGCAAGTCGCCCTGTCATATAAGATCAGGTTTGTCAGGCAGGACCTGCCTTTCATAAACCCATGCTGACTGGGCCTGATCCCCTGGTTGTCCATTATATGACTTGTAATGGCACTCGAGATGACCTGCTCCATGACCTTCCCTGGCACCGAGGTCAGACTGACAGGTCTATAGTTTCCTGGATCCTCCTTTCTGCCTCTCTTGTAGATGGGTGTCACATTTGCCACCCTCCAGTCCAGTGGGACCTCCACAGTCAGCCACGACTTCAGGTAAATCATGGGCAGCAGCTTGGCGAGCACATCTGCCAACTCTTTCAGCACCCTTGGGTGTAACCCATACGGTCTCACAGACCTGTGTGCATCCAGATGGTGTAGCAGGTCTCTGACCACCTCCTCTTTAATTGTGCTGACCTCAATCTGCTTCCCCTCCCCATCTCCCAGCTCATGAGGCTGGGTGTCCAGGGAACAGCCAGTTCCACTGCTCAAGACTGAGGCAAAGTAGGTGTTGAGCACCTCAGTCTTAGCAGCTCTTAGCACTAGAGCTCTCAGACTCTTAGCAGCTAGTCACATTTAAAAGCTACAAATCTGTCATTTTCAGGGCTCTGTGGCCCTGAAATGCAAGAACCGTAGTTCTTTTTATTGCTCTTAGTTTTTCTGCTGTTTGAGAATGCTGCAGTGCTAATTCCTGAGCGTGGGGTGAATGTAACTTCCTGGGACAAGTGTTACTCTGATGTGTCTCATCTTCCATAACTTCTTGTGCACAGCACTGCAAACTGATGAATGTTCATACTGCTCATGGTATTTGGTGTAAAGATATGGGCTTGATTTGTGCTCATCTTACAAACATAACAGATTTGAGCAGCAGAGCTGTGAAGGCCTACTGAATTCAAAGAAAAGTATTGAATTAAAAGGAAGACGTCACTTTGGATCTAACAAGGAATTTAATTCAGCTTTCATTTTATATCCTTCACTGCACAGTATCAATGCTAGATAAGAAACCTCATGATCATTTACTGAATCAGCAACCCCTGGTTTCTCGTTTCAACTAGATTCTGAAGCATTAAGTATTTATACTGTTTTTAAATCACAAACTGTGGTTATCTTCTGAAATAATATTATTCTGCATGTTCCACACAATCTCTGTAAAGATTCCAACTTTTCTTGGTACTTGTCTGCTCTCAGCAACTGCCTCAAGCTGGTTGTTAACAATTAAAACTAAAGGCTTTATATAAGCTATCAGTTACATTTATAGATTAAAAAGGTAAATCAAACCATGCTTAATGCCTCCACAGTTTCTTAAAAGTAAGATCTTACCCGGAAGACTAGATCCAAGATTGGCAAGATCAGCAAAAGGATCTAAGTTCTGAGATATTGCCTGGCTGAAAGGCAGACCTGAAGACACACTGGACTGGCTCCCTGTGGTAAAAGCTTGACCTGTATAATTAGAAAACATATAATTTATTTGCGTATTTAGAAACTGAGAGAATAAAAGTACAGTTTCCACACCACCTTGTGTAAGTCTCCCCAGCATCCTGCTCCAAGATATCTTTTACCATGACAAAACCCACCATTACTACAGATAACAAACTATCAGGTTCTTCTGCCTTGAACTTACTCTGAAAAAAACACATATGCCTTACTAAAGCAGCATGTGAGCACTAGAGCATGGAGTCCTATAAGCAACAAAACAAAGACACAGGAAAACACATTCAGCAGTTTCAGGTTATTAAACTGACCAAATCTGGAATATTCCTTACTCCTTCTAGTGGAACAATTTAATTTCATACCACCTTCAAAAAGAGGCTTCAACTGTGGTGACACTACACTGCTGGTTCCTGAGGAATTTGCCCAAGAATCCCAAGCACATAACAGATCTGGGTGGCTTGTAGATGAAGATATTTTAGGTGGCTCTGGTGTCAGATTCCCTACAGAAAACAAGAAATCTGATTATTCTTTTAAGAAAACCATCACAATAATGGATGTTTTGCCAATACCAACAGAACCGTGCACCACATTGTCAGCTACAACACCCAACTACCTGGCTTGCTTAGATTATAATATAGTCACATATAATAGTCACATAGTCTTAAACAGGACTTAGAAGTGTTTTACTACTGGAATTCCTTCATTTGTATTTGAAACATCACATGCACCTCACAGAAGGTATTTTCATGCACAGGCAATGCTATGAATTTAACAGTTTAGGCCTCCTGGACAAAAGGACTAACTAAAGGATGGCTTCAGGGCACACTGATGTTCCTGACAACACAGCAGGTAGATAGAAAGCAGTAGCGTTTCACAAAATGGTACTCTGTGTCACTCAGCATGGGTGCTACACAGGTGGAGCCAGGTCACTTCAAATTTCATGTTTGCCTACCCCAGGTTTCATGTAGCAAACTAATAACCTTTTAAGGTTCAGTACATGAATGAATGCATGCAATAAGAGGAAAATACATGATGAGTGATCTTCTCTAGGAAAATATTGAGAATCATTAGCTCCATGGATAAAAACCATTCTATGTGCAAAGCAAAACCACCATGCCAATTAAAAATGGAAAATGAAACAGTCGGATTCAAAAGGATGCAAGAGTGCTCCCACTTTTAATAAGTGTCACATCCAACATAGGGTTATAACTGCCACTCTAACACTTACAAATGATTCCTCCCCTCCTTTCCCTCACACACAGTATAACGCGAGTCATCCTCAGAATGAGAGATCCTAGATATGAACACTCAAAGCTGCATGCCAGCTCTCAGCATTCCCTTCAAGCACAGCTTGTACAGACTCAGAGTGAAGCAGAACAGCTTTTGAGAGTAACCAGTCCTTCAGTGGTAATGACAACAGGGAGAGGTGGTATTTCAGCAAACCCAGTATGTTTAATGGTGCTCTAAGAAATTTTGAAGACAGAGTTTGGAAAGGTAACCTAGACACCCTAACAAAGATAGTGACATTTTGATGTTCTGGATGCTTTAACATCACAGCTTGTCACTTCTCAGCTTCTCAACTGTACATTCTGGATACTGATATCAAATCACAGAAGCTATTTTATCTTATTTGAGGAAATAATTTGAAGCAAATTAAATATTCCCCTACGCCACCTCAATCCACCAATTCTATTTATCATTAGATCCTACAGTTGCAAAAAGAGCACATCAAATACTCTGCAAATGCCTGCCAAGAGTCTATGTTACAGCAGTCACCTCTGCTGCATGTGAAGGAAAACATTAGAACATCAGAATAAAATGTATGAAGTAGCCACCAAAGTCTTCTGAAGGTATAGTACAATTTTCAGACCTTTCTCCAGACTTAAGCCTCATTTCCCTGACTCTGAAACCTTAGAAACAGTATGTATTTGCCTCAATACTCAGGAGCCCAGTTATCTGCTGCACAGCAGTGTCACTGGCTATAACCATATCAGAGCATGCAAAACTGTTTATTCATCAGGTTAGAAGTCTGCTGTACCATATACCATGCACTCAAATTTTAAGTGGGCCTTTCATTAGTATTTATTTTTAAGCTAAAAATAATTTTGACTTATGATCTCTGCTATTACAAGTTTTTTACATAAGGAAATTTACAGCCACTACAGAACTATGATAAAATCAAGTTGAGAGAAATACGAATCAAGTAAACTACAGCTGAATGCATTTGAAAGACTGGGAACACACTATGGGAATTAGGTGTTTAATAACTGCTGGTTTAAGAGCATTTAAGTTCATCACCTCCCTCACCCTGAACAAAGCAGGGAGTAACTTACTGCTACATACAGCAGTGAATTTGCAGCGAGTAGTACAAGCTCACATACATCCACTTTTATCAGCAAAATCTGAAACAATGGAGTACAATGTGCAATATACTGAACAGATAAGATGTTCCTCCTGGAACTAATGTTTATTCTTAGGCTAAATTCTTTCTCATTGTGTTACCTAAAAAACCTCTCAAAACCAGAAATTAGAGAGGAGATACTACTTTATTCTACGCAGGGCACTAGGTGGAAAGCATCCACAGATCAAGCACACCATGCCAAAGCATTCAAAGTATTTACACACTCCAAACTACATGATTACATGTTTTCTATAATGATTACTGGTTAGCTGCTTACTGCTTCTATCCTCTATTGGTTAGTAACATACAGTGGGTTTGTTAGCTTTCTGTGCAAGCTAAAGGATGAGGGTCTGTATCCAGGCAGGGGTCTTAAGCTTACTTTACGTAAAACAATTTTAACAAGCTTCCATGTCCCAAGATGTTTCTCTTCAAGGACTGTAGCTCCTGATTAAAAGTTCCCTACTAAATTTTGTTGACAGTTTGAAGAACAGGCTGACCTACCTGGTGCATCCAGTTTGTCCTTGTATTTGATGAGAAACACTTATATGGATAACAATACATAGTAAGTGGCCTTGCATGCAATGAGAAACATTTGTGGGGCCTGCCATGTGAAATGAGAAACATTCTCACAGTCTACAATTCATATTTTCCCATAGGTAACAAGTGCATATGGTTTAAGCAATTCTTGAACAAGGCCTCTTGCTCAGGTTAACAGTTGTACAACTTGGGCATTAAAACAGATTTTAACATCAAGAAATAGGTTACCAACATGATTCTCTGACTTCTATATATTTTCAAGAGTTATGACAAGACCACATTCTGAATCACTTCTTTTTGTAACCTGGCACACTGGAGTTCATACAGACACATTAAGGTAAAGTAGCAGAATATCTGAAGAAAGGATAAAACATGAAGCACAGCTAAATATTCTGAAAGCTGAAGCAATCATGATCATGGGCAAGCAGATCCATACCTGTGCATATTTATCATCTTTAGCCATACAGCAAAAATCCTTCTTTAATGCACATATTTATAATCCTTAGCCATACAACAGTAAAACACTGTAGGTCAGGGCATAGTTCTTTATTAGCACTGCTGAAATGAAGCTAAGACATAAGTCAGTGCTAATCAGATCACCTGTGTGTTACTATATCCTACACACAACTTCACATTATGTTTTCTTTATTTAACTTGTCATCTCTACAGGAAATCCTTTAATCACAGAGGACAACAGGATTTTCTGTGAACCAGGAGGCTGGTTTAATACAATGCAAGGTTTTTTAACCTTGTCTCAAGCCTGATTGAGATGTCACAGAAACTAACCTACTCAAGAGACAACTACACTGGTCACTTAGGTTTCTTTTGATCACCTTCCACATCTGCTCTCTTTTGATCAGATCAGTTCATTCTCACAGAAGAAAACAGACTCCTGACTTGATCTGCATTAGAGATGACCTACTACTTGCATATCCAAACAAACCAATTTTGTTCTCAAAAATGCTCACTGAACAAAAACTCACTAAGTTAAAAGGAACACTCCTCCAGCTAGTGACAATAGCTTATCTTTGCGGGAGTGGCCACTTAAGAGCAGGTTTTAAGTTCTGAAGTGAACAGTCATCCCATTTACTACCTTCTCTGACAAATTACTAGAATTTTTCACAGAAAAATAACCTTGTTAATACACTGCTGTTTAGCAGCAACTGCTCAACATTCTCATATTACAGGCAGAATGCTGTAACAGATGAGATATTCTTCAAGAACTACCTTTCCTACAAATTGAAGTTACATTTTAAAACTCTTACAACTTTGAATTTCAAGCCACATTGAGAAATACAAGTCCAGAATTCTAATTTTTGAATCTGTGCTCACTGAAGCAGCTTTTCTCCTGGTATCTGTAGAGGTTTAGTAACTGTTTCCTACTGAAGAAAGCTTATTCATCACTAAAATTTAATTCTAGACATTTATTACTGCTCCAACAGTAGATTCACTGTATCTCACTGCGGCAACTTATTCTGAATGAACACCGACATTACTGCTAATTTATTTTTAGTGAGTTTAAAATTGTTTCTCACTTTAATGATCACATTTGCACTTCTTCTCACTGAGAACAGTTCTTCCAAATATGTTATTTAAGAACATGCTTTCATTTGCCCTTTCTTCTGCAGTTACTAGCTACCATGTCCTTACACTCACTCATTTATATAAAAACATTATTAATATTCATATTCCTAACTTCTTTGCTAAAAATGATACCAGTGACTGGACAGAATGCTAAAGGCTCAAATACACACCATTTCAGCTAAACACATAGAAAAGCTGTCATTTGAAAGGTAAATGTGAAGGGGTATGAAACATTATCCCAGTTAATACACTTCCATACAGTTTTTAAAGCCTGCATAACAGAAATATTGGGAAATCATCATATAACAGTAGACTGAATAGGAATACATTTTAAGGATCTTTTCCCTATGTTGATAGAAAGCTCCAGAACTTACATTAAAACAGCAGGTATGCTAATGAATTTACTAGGGTTCAAGCTCTCAACCGAAATCAGAAAAATTAAGCATACAATAAACACTGAAGTCAGACATTCAAATATATTTTCTTCTTCTTCTGTACTGCCTTAAATGTTACTAACAGCTGAACACTGATGGTGGTCTCCTTGAGGCTGCAGGCAAACATTTAAAGAGCAGAAATCGTATTTATGTATTTTTCCAACTACATAAGTACATAAAAAGTACACACAGTACATAAGAGTTCTATGTCATGTAGAGCATAAAGCACATTGGTATGAGGACAGGCTGAGGGTGCTGGTATTGTTTAACCTGGACAAGAGAAGGACCGGGGTGGACAATCTTACCAATGTGTACAAATAACAAGTAGAAATGTAGAAGACTGAGCCAGACTTCTCAGTGCTGTCCAGCGGAAGGACAAAAGGCAGTGGGGACAAACTCAAACACAGGAAACTATTTAACAGGGAAAATGTTTTTTGTGAGAGCAGTCAGTGACACAGATTGCCCATAAAGGCTATAAAGTCTGCAACCTTGGAAATAATAAAAATTAGCAAGTATATTGTCTTGAGCAGCCTGCTTCAAGCAGGTCAACTAGGTAATCTCCAGAGGTCCTTGCCTCTAAAGTGAGATAGATTTTGGCTGAGATGATGTTCCACAGATCATTATTGCTCAAGTCGTCTTATGAAGAGAAAAAAATTATCATTTATTTGGTAACCTTATGCAGTGACAACAATAGCGTCATAACTAAAAGTGGCATAAAACTGGCAACTATGTAAGTATATAACTAAAACATACAGCTGTTGCATCAATACCACCATTTCTAACCACTTCAAATTTTTAAGTGAGCGTCTGCAGGGGTGGCCTCTGCTAGGAGAGGCCTGGGCTGGTCTGTGCTGGACACAGCCAGCTCTAACAGACCCACCACAGGACACAGCTGAGCTCCTCAGCCAAGATGATGTTCCCTCTGGGAAAACATATGTAAGAAAGGGTAAAAAACACTACACAGCAGCTAAGAGCAGAGTGACAAAAGTAAGAGGTACGGTCCTGGAGACACCAAGGTCAGTGAAGGCAGCAGGGGAGGAGGTGCTCCAGACGCCAGAGCAGATTCCCCTGCACCCATGGAGAAGACTACACTGGACTAGTATCCTCACTGCAGCTTGTGGAGGACCCCATGCAAGTAGACATGCCCCTGGATGAAGCTGCAGCCCACAAAGAGGAGACCAGGCAGCAGCAGGCTCCTGACAGGAGCTGCAGCCCCCGGGGGGCCCACACTTCAGAAGCCTTTTTCCTGAAGGACGTACACTACAGAACTTGAAAAACTGCATCCCATAGGAAGAACCTAAGCAGGAGCAGGGGAACAGTGTGAGGATAAAAGAGAGCAGAGAAGAGCTGTTACAGACTGACCACAACTCTGATCCCTAGGGATAAGACTCACACTTTTCTTTGGAAGTCAGATTTTACAAGGAACTCTTCTGGCTCTACCACTCCATCATTTTTGCAAGGGTATGTTTCTCTTTATAGAATGAGCATGCTTAGAAGCTCCATTTCATAACACTTGGGAAATAGTGTGTTTAGGATCAAGATATAGGAAGACTGAATATCAGAAAACTTTTTGTTTAAAGATGAATAGATTTTAAAATAAATGCATGAGAAAAAGACTTCACCAAGAATACATCAGAGAAATTAAATAAAACAAATAAGATTAGAGTATTACATAATGTACTCCATAAGTATACTGCCAGGATGTATTCAGGTCAAGAAGGTCCAAGCTAGCTTCAGCTTGCATTTTAAGAACTGGATATACTATAACTTGACTTGCTTATTCCTTTTCCAAGGCTTCGAGAAAATCTTTTAAATCCGAATACAATCAAAATAGTATTCTGCCATCTAGAAGGTAAGTGTGTAGGTTTTTGTGTACAGTCAAGTTCTAAGAGCTCACAGAGCAAACTCCAGCTCCTAACACAACATTAGCAATGCTAGAAATCATCTTGTATCATAAACATTAGCATGACATTATACAGGAGACCCTTGTTACTTGGTGCATTTGCATCTGTGTCCCCAGAACACAGATCTAATTAAAACAGCAGTCAAAACAAGTGGATCTACTAAGAAACTAATCCACCTTAACTAAGCTGAAAGAGAAATGAACAGTGCAGCAGAAACTGAGGAACAGAACTCCAGAAGCACACTTACCTATATTTAAGAAATCTGAGCTAGAAGAAGGTGGAAGTGAACTGTGTGTGGAATGAACTGCAGTAGCGGTAGATGTTGAGCTTGGATTAAGAAAGTCCCCAAAGAGGTCTAGACCAGACATGGCTTGATTTTCTGAACTTGATGACATTGTGAATGGGTCAAAAGGATCAGCTAAAAAAGGAAGCAGAAAACAAAATTATCTTATGACATTTTAGAGTAAATGAAGTTGAAAAAGCTGTTCTCCTTTAGGGACAGACAAAAACTAGAGTTCATGTTACTGTCTTCATGTTGGCAGCAGTCTTCTGAGAATTTTTCGTGGTAGAGAATCACCATTTGTCCCTTCCTCTAGACATCTGCACTTTAATGTTGGTACAAGAAGTATTTCAACCACGCACAATACAAACAGCTATGTCTTCAAATACAAATCCTTAACAAGACTTCATATATTCAATAAAATTTTTAATTTCATCCATAAGACACCTTAAATTTCAGTGATCCTCTGCATACAAACAGAAGAATTACATTTGTTAAATGCTCTATAATGCCAAGCCTCCAAAGAACTTAAACAAAACAGACTATTAAACTACTAGAAAGAATATCAAGTGAAACATTCATACTACCACTTTAGATTTGAAGGCACTGGGGACTCTGGGCATAAAGTGTGTCAAGAATGAAAATGAACAGAAGCAAGGCTTTCAACAGGTCTCTAGTGATCACAGCAAAATAAAAACTAATTGGAAGAACATTTACAGTCAGCATTGGTTAATGTGACAGTCAGCTGGAATTACGGCTCAAAATCTTCCCATTTCTCCTGCCCTCTAGGGTCAAAATCCTCAAACGCCCAGGGACTCCTGGCAGATTCACTCAGAAGCTGAAGAGAAGGAATAATCCTGCCACAGTGCTCTAGCACATCCTGAGATGACCATATTGTACAGGACTCAAACACTTCAAGAAACAAACCCTGGACTGTCATCAAGGTATCTTACTATAGCACTGCATATACACAAAACCTCAAGTACAAGTTTGATGTTCAAACTGAATACAACAGTACCTAAATAGTCTCACTTCCGCAATTACCTTTCTCTTAGCCAATTCAAAGGTAGAATGAGATACATACATGACTACTGCACAGGTGTTTCACAGAGTAAATAAGAAAGTCAAAGATAGATAAAGTAATAAAGCTTCTCTTTTATAGACTTCTGCCTATGTAAAAAAGTAAAGCGATTTCTCACTGACCGCAGTAACAAAGTTCAATACTGAGTTGCTTCAAAAGAAATTAATATTTTAAATCACCTATTTATAAAATTTAAAATATTTTTGCAGATATACATAGATTAAAGATTTTAATCCAATTGAATGATCTTTGTGCAAATAAGATAAACCTTCTAAAAGTTTCCCAGATAGAGTAATATTCCCCAAAATTTTACTACTAACTTCAGGCAGAGAACTGCTATTCCCAAAAATTTAATCATGTGACAGAGCTACCTATCTATTGGCAAGAGGGACAGAACCTCTAAACTAAAACACCTTGTTTTAAATACCAAATAGACAGCAGTGTGCAACATTCTCCTTCAGGATACAGACATGCCAACATCAGTAAAACCAGCAATAAAAACATCTTTTAGCAGTACCATTATCTTACTGGTTTGAACAGTAATCTACAGGATTTCCAGTTGTCTAGCAGTTTTACGTGATTAAGACTCAAAAATCCCACACAGATATTCGACCTAAGCAGCACAGCTCTGTACCACATTTAATGCTACTGCTTTATGTTAAATGCAAGATGGTACTAAAATATTACAACTCTTAGCCAGAGAAGTTATTTACATGTGGATTTAGAAAAGGATCTAGCACATAATGTTTGTATGGGAAAACTATGGATTCTTTATGTATACTGAATGTCCTTTAAATTCAGAATCTGATGCTTTTCTGTTTACATGGTTTAAAGCTAATAGAATATTGTCAACATAACAAAATTGCTGTATATTACCAGATATTTATCTCCTTCATGCAGTAAAACCAGTTATTCTATGCAGATTCTTACTATAGATCAACATGTCTTCAGTGTATGGATCAAAATATGGTACTAATTTTCCAAGCATACAGCAAGCAACAGTTTTTAAACTCTTGGCCAGCCAAAGAGTACTAATGTTAAGTTTACGTACCTGAAGACATGGCTGCTGCTGAAGACATACCCTGAGTAGCAGCTGGACACTGACTGCTGAAAAAGAAATCTGTTCCTTGTCCAAGGAGATCTCCTGTGGGCTCTTCTGAAATCTCTGATACATTACCAACAAACAGATTGTTTAGTAAGTCCGCATTACTTGAGGAAGAGTTTATTCCTGAGATAGGTTGTTTCTGTTCTGGTGAAATATCAAAGTCTAGTCCCAGTAAGTCTACATTCTCTTCAGGAAGAGATTTTTCTAACAGTGTAGATTGAGGTTCAAAATTGGCTTCAAAAAGCAAGTCTCCTTCTGGTGCTATAGAGTCTTTTTCATCAACAATTACTGCACTTTCTTCACCTAAAAATGTAGGGAATTCCTCATCTGAAGGATCACTCTCTTCCCTGTCATCCGATAGATGAACATGATCATTTTTAGATGAACTGTCCTCTATTCCACTTTCTGGACATTTTCCTTCTTAAAAAGAAATAACAACTTTAGATTATCAGGATTCTTCTGCCAATAAGACAACAGACTTACATGGTGAGATCACATGATTTCAATCCTTGATTAATCAAAACTCACAGAAGACTTAATGAAAAAAGAACTGTTGCCTCTGCACAGGTCAGCCAAAGGGGCAGCTCACTTCCTTACCACTCTGCAAGGGTAGGTATTATGAATTTTTTTTTAAATGTGACTGACTTGGACATTCACCTCAGGAATCATACCACTTATGGCTTAGAGAATCACTCAATAAGTGCTGCTCCACTCAATGACAGCATTCAATAACAGCATAAACAGTTGCTGAGCAGTTTTTGCCAACAAAGGAAAACCCAGAAAAAGGAATCACACAATAAAGTTACATTTTCTCAGTCCATACATACTGATTTTGACTCCACTGGCTAGTCTACTTTGATTCCTCAGCCAGCCTAAGTGTGGTTGTAGGAATGCAAAGACTTCCTTGCCTTTAAAGTTAAGATTTTTGCAGGAAAACAAAAATTTAGCTCAGTATTTAAGTTACACAGAAAACCAAAAACCACTACTTGGTGTTTTTCCAAATGAAGCAGAATAACCACTTGGTGAGCTCTCCAGATTAACCCTTTATATAGCTTTTTCTCATGGACTGGTGAAATAGTGACTTTTATTGCATAAGAAGGCACTTATTGGAAGGTGCACAAAACAAACATACAACAGAGTTATTTCAGAGGACAACCTATACCTTTCCAGTCCAGAGAATGGAAGAAGTTATTTGCATCAGTGCTACTGCTATGTGGGGATTCTGTATCGGTAGGTGCACTTTCTGAAGACTGCTCCAGCTGAGATGTTTCTGCTTCATACTGTGCAGTTGAACCTGGCTGTCTAGGCAGCTCCGGTTTCCCTATAAAACAGATTTTAAGCCAGAATCCTTAAAAGATAAACTTCTAAAATTCCAACCTTCGTCATAGCAGCTGGTATTGACTTGCAGACTGACTGCTATACTAAGACAACCACCTCAAAGTACCTCTTGCTCTGCCAAGGCAAATTCCCACCCCCACTCCCCATTTAAAATTTCACTGTTAAGTTTGTTTCAACTGAAAAAGCTTGTAAGACCCTATTTTCAGCTATAACACTAAATTAAATCAGATTATAGAAAAAAACTCAAGCATTCTATTTACATTTGTAGGAAAATGTAATTAACACCTCACTTGTACCACCCATCCCTAAAATACTCAAAAGCAATGAACAGCATCTGCAGTAATGAACAGAAAATCAAAAAAGAGCAAATACAGCTATAGAAAAAACTAGTTGAAGAACATGGAGATAAACATCTCAGAGGAGTTAACCAATACACAGTGTGCTGCGACTACTTGTATTTCTTATTTTACTGAGATCAGATATTGAATGACTCTTGTGCAAGATTCTTGTGCAAGACTGAGTTGAGCTGAGTTAGCTACTGCTGTATAATCTTTCAAAAAGGAAGTTTCCTCAAGGCAAATAAGAAGACTCCCTAAAATAGTATGTATTCAGCCACTGTTTGAAAAGAATGGGATGAATCCTTGGGAGAAAGCTATTTGTCTAAATACCAAACAGGTAGAGCACTTTTTTACCCTCCTTCTACATACTGTTATAGCTTACAGAGATGCTGTAAAAAATTGTCTGTCCCTGAAAACTCAGATGAAAGATCATGATTAATGAAATACTGCAAATTCAATTTCAGTAAGGCAAGTTTTATAAAATCAGTTCACAGCACTTGCTCTTGTCCTATTCTGTTCCTACTAGTTTTAAGAAATATTTTCAACATTATCTGAAACCCTTACATTCATTCAGCAATCAAAAAGTAAAAGTGACTTGAACAGGAGCAGCTTGTACAGATCCTCATTATCACTGTTACACATTAACTTTAATGTGCTGAGCTGTGTTCACAGTAGGATTTTTTAAATCTACATAAACTAACTTAAATAGAAAATTACTTAAATCATAATATAAACCAAACATATCCTGCAAAAATAAAAAATAGCAGCCATTACCTTGTATCAAAAGAAATGTAATTAACATGTACCATTATTAGGAGCAGAAAGTAAGATCTCATGTATGGTGTGCTAAAATCACCACAATCTTCATTGTTCTTTTTATTCTGGAAGCACAGAGAAGGCTCAAGAGCCTTAATGAAAATGTCAAAGCTAATTACTGATACCAGAAGAAAGATACTAAACAGCATTAACTGGAATTAATGCAGACATCCACAGATGAAGCACAGAATATGTAGTATTAAAAAACTTAAACCTCTGCTGGATCACATTGGAGAAGTTAAGAAAATGAATTACAACATTGTTAGCTATACATAAGAAGGATCTTAATAAACACCTTCATATTTAAGGCCATTTGTGAGGAATGCTCAGGTGATTTTAAGTGAAGTGATAATGGTGCCAGTTTAGGCAAATATGGCTGTCACAATTCCATTTGTTAAAATCCCTGCAAATAGTATATTCATAGCTTTAAAGCAAGCAAATGTAATGACAGTGGAGGTAAACCAAGAATAATTATAGTACTTTATCAAAGGATAATTTATACTCCTTCATACAATGCAATTTTAAAGTTATAGTTACAAAAAACTCTTTTAAATGTCACTTAAAAGAACAGAAATGAAACAAAAGCCTCAAACACTAAGTACATTAGAAACTTTTATCATGTTCCCTGTTTTTCAAGATTCATTACCAAATTTTGATAAAATCTCTTGCTGTTCCTCTCGGGTGGAGAAAAGAATCTTGGGATTCAGTCCCTTTATATTCATGTTATCCCATGGTGGCTGTTCACAGCTAGGTCTATCTCTGGGTTCCACCTCTACTTCCAGATTGACTTGAAATAAATCAGGATATTTTTCTTGTATATCACAGGCATCCAGATCATACCTGCAAAGATATATGAAAGTAGCTTGTTGATACTTATGTCTAACTAGTTTTGTTTTGGACTGCACTGAATTTAAACTTTATAGCAATTAGTAAGGCTTAAAACATGCTGCAGTTGCTTATTTTTTCCATATATTTTAAACAAGTGTTACTTCGGTAGAGAATTTGTTTTTGTATCATGAACAAAGCCTTCAGTTTCCTGGAGGTGAGAAAACAAAGAATCTTCTTGCAATCAAAGTAATTTACTTCCTACACTGACTGTATTTCCTTCCCCCACCATATGTTAGCTTGGCGGGTTAAACTGTTTCAAAGAAGAATTCTTGCAATCTCCCACAAAAGGGTGTCAACATACTTGGCAAATTTCACTGTGGTGGCATTTCGGGGCACAAAACCTGTGTGGAACTGAATCTGAAACATCTTCATTGAAGCCATCTGTTTAAAACAAGAAATACAGGGAAACGGCATAAATCCACACCAACAGTACGCAGAGTGTTCTGCCTTTAATATAATGCAAGTATTTTCAGTATTTAAAATATTCAGAAGTATTTATTTTTCTATCACTTGTTTAATTACATGTATACTTTATCTTGAGATTTAAATTCAGTTTAAGACACAATGTAGATAAATCTATTACTATCAGAAACAAACCAAAAGACCATGGAAACAGATATATCTCAACAGTAACCTCAGACTATCAAAAGCTTAAGTATTTCCAGACCCTGTTCTAGAGGATAAAACTGCATGACCTTTTCTGACTCAGAAAATTATTGAATACACCAATCAAGAAATATGTCATATATAAAGGAGTCCATTTAGAACAGTTTTAAATGTAGCACATTTAAAAGGACAATTTGTAAGACATGCAAAGAGTTCTTCTTTCTATGCAGCTTAAGTCAACCATTTATCCCAGACAGAATTACAGGGCTTTTCCAAACTGATTGATTAGAACCATTCAACTTTCCCACCTCTTCTGAAAGAAAGTGCCTCATCAGCACATGAGAGTCCAGAAAATGCTACTATAGAAGACTGATGTAGTTCCTGGTCTTGAACAAATCCAAATTACAGCAAACTGATAAATCAGCAATGTATTTGTTCTCTGGCTTTACTTACAGAACACGTGGAATATAAGAACAGTCCTTCCTTACAAAGCAAGTAATGAAGCAATAGTACAGTAAATATGATATAATAAAATTGAATCATGAAAGCTGTAAAAGGAACAAGCTTTAGAAAACTCTTTTCTCTTAGGATATTAATAGCAGGAATAATTAATAAATATTGTTTCATAGGCTTAATTAATAGAGCACAGGTGCTTTAAGAACAATACTGACAGTTTAGGCAACTTAGGCTAGGTAATGAAAAGCTAGACATAGATAAAGTATATGTTAAATAGAACATTTTGAGTCTTTTCTCAAAAGTCTAAAAGTGAATTATGATGAAGATTGCTCAAAAGATAAGTAACCATGATGACCAAAGACTGCAGCAGTGAGTAGCAATGTCCAAAGAGGAATTAGAACAGAATGATAAGAACTAGTCAAAACTGTGGAATACAATGGACTTTTGAAACGGATGATGAATTGAGAGCTGAAAGTTCCTGGAAAATCACCAAAGACTCTTTGTATTGTATGTTATATCATACATATAGAGTGTGCTTTTTGTTAGCTGTTGCCACTGAGGTGGTGGCCCATCTCTGAGTTGTTAAAGTCAGCCTAGATAACCACAATCTGGTGAAATCCTTTAACAAAAGCTTTCCTCGTAAATGAGCATTTATTGAACATTATAACCAGAAGTCAAATAACAGGCAAAGCACTGCCAGCAAGTTGAGAAAGGGGATCTTTCCCCTCTATGCAGCACTGGTGAGGCCACTACTAAGGTCCTGTGTCCAGTGCTGGGCTCCTCAGTGCAAGAGAGACATGGGCAAACTGGAGAGAGTTCCTCTGATCCATCCATACCTACCACAAACTACATATGAAAACTGAAATAACCTATTAAATCAGTTTTCTTAATCCCTTGATACACAAGACATTTCCTAGAAGATAAACTAAATCCTCTCTGAAATAGACTGAGGAAGTGGAAGGCATTCCCAATGCCCAGCTCTAGGCACTTAACAGCAATATTGAAATGTGGGGGTTGATCTCTTTACAGAGTTCTGCAGAGAGCTTCAGGGGACACACTGAATATTGTTCCATCAAAGCTCCAAACCAGGACCACCACACTGTTCATATATCATGTGTCATAGCAGTTGGATGAGAAAATGCTAATCTTTTCCAATCAATAAACTGGAAACCACAGAAACCAGAGAAACCACAAGGAAACCCTATCATCACTGAAACCGAGACTGCATAAGTATAAGCTAACCTTGGCTGAATTCTCCCCTACTGTATGCCTTCTCCACTGAAGACCTTAAGCCATAATAAGCCTAGTTATTTTTGTGCATTAAAGACCACTTCACCAAGCTTTGAGGTGTTCTGAAAGATCTGGCCCATAGCACTCTGGGGACATTAAGAACGTCTTAAACCTGTGCAACATGACAAGATCTGATACCTTCCTACATAGAAAGTAGAAAAAAGACAGGGAAAACAATTTATTTCAGTACTGGTAGATATGTTTAAACATGCTTGTTTGCCTCAAATGTATGGCAACTGAAGAACTCCTGGATCAATTTTCACAATGCTCCAAGTCATCCTGAACTCTTCAATACCCCTTCCTATCTTTTACATAGATCTCCAAGTTTAATTTGTGTTACTCATCTGGAGGAAAAAAAAACATACTTCCTTTTTTAGAAATTTGAAGACAGGCTTCATTAGCAAGTTTTTTGTTATCTTGCAATACAGTCACATATATAGTTGAATTAAAAAAAAGGAAACATGCATTTTCATTAAGAGAACAAAAACCAGTAAGAAAATTTATAAATGTTCGACCTGGTTCTAGTAATAGGGTACAAAATCACATGGATTTTTCTAGCATATTTTGTACAGGTAGTCCCTGAAATTCCACTTTTCTACTGAGTGATATTTTTCCTTTGATTACAGTTTGTGTACACAGAATTAAGAAATTCTGGATTGATGTACAAAGAAAGAGATAACCATCACTGCCCCCAAAAAAAGCTGGAGGCTTTCCATGCAACTAACTATCACTACTGAAGTAATTTCCAAAAATGCTTACTGAAGAATCTAGATGCAGAGCACTAAGAATGGACATACTTATTAGTTTCAAAAAGGCTGAATTGCCAAGTACGTGAAAACCTCACATATTTCTTTGAACAAAGAATAGCAAATAAAGTCATGTATTTAAGGAGATCACAAATACAAGTATGACACAAAACTGCAAGAAGAATAAGCAAATCTTCCATGTAGGCTGTTAAATTTCATTACCTTGGCTTGTAGCCGGCCTCCTAGTGTTGACCTGGCATGGTAGATCACAATGAGAACATCTCCCTGAACTGTTATACCTAGTGGAATTACTGCTTTCCCATCTTCGATTTTAAACTCCCTGACAAAAAAAAACAAAACAAAACAAAACACACAAAAAACCCACAGTTGATTTTGTGTAAAAGAAAATAGTATATTACCTTATGGTTAGTTTGGTTTCTCCAAGGCCTTCAATATCAACCCATAAAAATCTGCTTCAAGTATAAGGAATTCACTCTAAATGATTAAAACTTAAAAGCTGCTGTAAAGGTAACAAGCCTACAGCAGAGCAACAGGCAGGCTTATAGGTCTCAAATTAAATACGGGAGAAATGTGATTTCAACAAGCTACTGGGAAATGCGTGTTATAAATGAAGCTGTTCCAAAGGAAAGTGCAGAGTGAAACTGTAGCTGCACTGCTGTGACATGAAGGACTCCCACTGAGGGACAGTGGTAGAGAAAACCAGCAGAAAATATTCTAACACCACAGAGCTGTTTCTGTTCTGCTCTCCTCAAATTCATTAAACTCCTTTTGGGGCTTGAATTTATAGGAAAGCTAGAAAAACCTTACTATTCTCTTATTTTTCCTCTCTGTGACTATCTACACTACTACACTGCTATTCCTGTGCTGTATTACAACAGCAGACACCACAGCTGTACAGGAGCTAATAAGCACTCCCCTTACACTACAGTGCTTAAGGCGATCCTTACTGTTTCCATTACTGAGATACGATGTTCAGTTCAGTACATGTACACCAGGAGTCAGCCTTCTCATTTACACCACACTGAGTGAGAGGAAAGAGGGTCTTGCTCACCACCGCTTCCCAATGCCTACCGTACCACTCTACCACCATTCCCACTTTTGGCAGGAAGAGATCCAAACTGCTATTATAACCATATTGCCTCTTCCCCATGATTTACTTTTCAAGAAGGGGATAGAGGAGCCATTCCATACACTAAAAAAAGCTTTCTGCTGAACTGGCACATGCAAAATCATGCTTTTGCCTCCCAGTAAGGACTTCATATTTTAGTCTGCAAAAACATAGCACGCTGTTTCAGAGCAAATCATAAGATATACTTACTTCATTTTGTCATATTCCTGGGAGGTAGTCGTTACTCTGTCATCTCCCACATAAACCTCACAAAAAGGCCTGCAGCCATTACGCTGCTTACTGAAAAGAGGAACTGGAGTCATAATGATTGATCTGATAAGGATAGGCTTGCTGTGAGGAATAATGGGTTCTTCAGCCATCATGTCACACATGTATTCAATGTATCTGCCAAAAACAAAAAGGTACTAGCTTAGCCAGAGAACCAAATTCTAAAAATGGGTGAACACAATGGGCTCACAAAATTCAGAATTACTTTCTCTACCCATGATACATCTATTTTTCCAAGTATTTTGCTGTTTGAACACATATTATTGAAATAATTTATCTTCCTAAAATAGTAGCATACTCGCAATTGCATAAATACTTGCTTCAACAGTACCCTACAGACCGCTACCATACCTTTTATGAGAAGGCCAAATGCCAGGAGGACAGCGTTTCATACTGAACATATAAACTGCAGCTTCAGCAGTAGTGAAGAGACGACAGAAGCACAGAAAAGAACAAACTACAACTGCAGATGCTGCTCTTCCATCCTACAACAAAAATTGTAACTTTGTTATTAAACCTAGTGGAAAAAGCATTATATAAGTTACTGAAGAACATGCTATCTCCTTTCTTAATGTAATGAAGTCCAAGGTCTAGTGTAATAATTAGATTTGAAGTTTATACATGAATGAAATGTTTTAATTTGATTTCCACACAGTGCAAAAGACATACTAACTTCTTGCTCAAGTGTGAATAATTTCTTTACCTTAACACTGACATTTTCAATTCATGTTTATTACCTTATCACTAATACCCATTTTGAGTTTGTTTCCTGGCTGCTACTTGAAATCCCAGTTCAGTGCTATTTTTAGCTGGTAATCATGGACTTCTGCTACAAGACAAGTCCTAAGATTCAGAAGAATTAAGTCATGCTAAACTCTTTAGTCTTCTGAAAAAAACTGACTGAGGTTAACAGCTTGCCACAAAACTAAGAGAAGGAAGTTAAAACACTGAACATCTTTCTGTAGGGTCCACAGCTACACACATCCCAGATTCATCCCTATAGTATAAAAGACTGAAGATTCAGAAGAAGTAATAATGACCAACAGAACAGGAACTCTGAAGGTTTTCTGCTAGCAACACATAACAGATTTTTTTGTAGTCATTTGGCATATGAACATGGAAGTGGGGAAGAATTTAACAGGAATCAAAGCAGGCTTCTATTCTAACCATTACTTAGATCTATGAAAAGGTCTGCCAAGCACCATAAGAGACAGATCTTTAAAGAGCTGTTCAGCAAAACAATATTATTAATGCTGGTGTAAGTAGCAAGCCCAGTGATTTCCAGAAGTCACTAAACTAGTCTATGATTCTATTGGCTAGACCCTGTCTTTCAGTTAAATTTCACCAATGGAACAAAACCATTGTCCCTATCCTAAGATGCCTACATCTATGAATGCAAGGGAATAATGAAACAACACTGATCAGCCTGACAAGCAGTTACATATGTACACTTGCATTACAAAGCTACTTCCAAATTAAAGTACCACACCAAGGGGAGAAAAACCATTGTACAATGTCAGCAAGCAAGTCACAGCAAACCTTTTGCCACTGAAGTCAGAGGACAACTCTACAAGACTTTAAAGACCACTTTATATCCAAAAATATCTTACTCATTAGTAAACAAATGACAGAACCTTGCACTTCAGAAAGAAGCTTGGTAAGTTTCAGAATGGGAGCAAAAGAAACATTCCCATACAGGGATGAGACAGTAATGTAAGCAAACTGTAAGCAACACTGTAAGAAAAAAACCTGTTAAGTATGTACTAAACTTCCAAGACATATTACTGCTACAAACCTCTCATTCCAGTTCCTTCAGTACCACCTAGGATAATCTCCAAAACCCCAAAACTCAATTTAAAGAACAGGATAAGAATCCACAAATTCAAGAATAAATGTTCCCAAATTAAAAGCAAAAATTAAATGCGTAACAGATCAGAAAACTACCCTTCTGGATAACTTTTCAGTAGGTTATTATTTGCAGTGTAATTAGTACTTCCAACTTCAGCTACAACAGAAACACCAAAGCTGTAGAGGAAAATATTAGGAGGTTCCTAAAAGAAAGGAGTAATATTAGCTACATAGAAATACTGGCAGAAAATCACTACCCCCATAGTAGACTGGATCATAGGAGTAATTCTTCCACAAATTAAAATAATGCATCAATTACATAGAGCAAGTTGGGTGAGACCACCTGTAGAGACAAAAACAAACCACCAAACCAACCCTTTAGTAATACAGTCTACGACCTTTCTTTCTCTCTTTTGAGACAGCTTATTCCCTAGCTAGAAATCAGTGAATTAGAAAAGGCTATAGTAAGTATCTCTAATGTGGTGGAAAAAATTAGAAATGCTACAACTGATGTGACGGAAACATTACAAAAAGCAATTACTGAAATTTCTAAAGTCATCCTTCAAAACTGAATGACTCTAGACATAATGTTGGCTTCACATGGAGGAGTATGTGCAATTATGATTTCTAGTTGTTGTACATATAGACAAAACAGGAAAAATATGGATTTTAAAATAATAAAGCAACAATTAGGCATTTTGCAAGAAATACAAAAGGATGATACTTCCTTACTTAAAAAAAATACAGAACAAGCTGACTTCATAGTTACCAAATTTCAGATAATTAAAGCAATTACTTATATTGATTATAAATATAGCTGTAATAGTTATAGTAATTTACTCAACAATTCAATGTTAGAACTGCTATTGACGATATAGTGAATTCATTTAGATGAATGATAGACCCATAAGCACTACACCCTCAAAAGAAAAAAGGGGGGAATGAAAGGGCTCAAGCAAATTAATTTCTGACAATTATTAAGACTAAACTGTGATGTATGAAAGCTTTGCTTGTGTTTTGCTTCATTTGTTTCTCAAGGACTCCTGATTTCTCAACTGTTTCCTTAGGTCTCTGTTTAGGTAACATTAAGATGCTCATTAGGCTCCCTATGTAATCACTGATAGCAGACTCAAGGCCTTCAATGAATACTTGAGCAACTCCTAGAATGGGAAACGGGGGCGGGGGACAGGATGGACTCAAAGGGACACAGATACCCTACTACAGGGAAGATGATTGTGCTGATTTAGGAAGAATGCACCTGGATTTCACAGCACATGCTCTAGAAAGAGGGTCAACAAGTGAACACCCTGAAGAAGAGCACTTCTCTCAACCACCAAAGACCCTCACTATTTGTACTATGCATGCTTGGACTATGTAAATGTACTCCAGGAACTCATTATCCTAAGATACCCCTTTCCAGGAAATCTAATTAATATAATTTGTTTGTATATAAACCCATGTCCCTTGCTAATTCTTAGGACACCTTATGGTGGAGAATCCCCACTGCAATCCCAGCACTGCTAATAAAGATTATCTACTTACCAGTAAAAACTTTGTTTTCAACTGCTTGTTCTTAACTGGATCAAATTACAAAGTAAAAATTTAAGAATTCACTGCATTATTGCAAACCTCTACAGTAAAAATCAAAAGACCAGGAAGCCCTACCTGGTTCTGAATCCCAGTCACCTTAGAGGCAGTTTCAGATTTACAAGAAACTAATGTTTTGTTATCCAAGAAAGTCTGTTTGACCAAAACTTTATATGTCTACCAGACAAAGCATTCTTTTCAATCTAGATTTCCTAGCTTTTACATGTACAAAAATTCCCAGCTAGATTAATTCAAGATACATATTGCAGCTACCATGTCTCATAGTTCTGGTCTATGTTTTTCACATCAAATCCAGCAGGCAGTCACATATATACAAGCTTCCCTCACACCTGAGGAAAAGGTACCTTTTAGTTAGGTACCTTAAAGGAAATACTGCAAGGGAGCTAATTACCTGCTTCTTACCTACTTGACCAGCAATCATATGATACTTAGGTACTGAAAGTACCACTTTAACACAGATTTAGATTCCTAACCTCATAGCAGCGCTGAAAATACCACCTGTTTTCAGGAGTTGGCAGTAACTGACTTGTTCCATGCAAAACACTATATAAGGAAGTACACTGCAAGATTAACAAATCCTCTTTTAGAGTCTGATAGTGATTCCATATAGACTACAATACTATATCAAAGGACTGGTTATGAATGCTTTCAGCAGCATCACAAGCATTTTAACTATCATGTTTTGCTTTTTACAGCACAGGAAAATAAAAATGTGAAAAATTTACATGCAATTCTCTTACACAAACTTAACAATGACATTATGTTTACAAATCTTGAGCACAGTAACTACTCTTTAAATTCATTTTTCACCACATGACCTGAGGTGCCTTTTTGGGTTATATCAAGCTCAATGATACATTAAAGAACAATAAAATTTGCACAGCAATCTGCTGTCAGCAAAAGCAAGTTCCACCAAGTGTCTCAGTTTCTGCAATTCTGCAGATACTAACTATATTCTAAATGGACAGTAGTGGGAAACACAGTGTATATCCACTGTGACTCAGAAAACATGAACAAAACTAGAGCAAACACAAGATAGATTCTTTCTTCCATAGGTTACTTTGCCTTAATCCCTCCTATATATCACCTTCCACACTACATGCAATCAGGCATGGGCTACGTTACCCTATTAATTTGCTTAAAGGCTAAAATTTATGTAAATAACTTTCTTTACTGTGAGACATGGGGGCAATTCCATGCTCCTATGTCTTTAGGAAAGCCAGCAATATTTATGAACTGAGTTGATACTAGCATCGTTAGTCACGATTTAAAACTGGATTAAGCAAAGCACTTCAGATTTAAACCAATTTCTTACAAGGCAGTGCACAATGCAAACATTTTTCTGGTCTTGTTTCAGCCATAAATGCATGTTCTTGCATATGCTATAAAGATTCTGGAGATTTGGTGCTCTTCTTGCTGGCCAGCCACATTCAGAAACCTGAAACAAGAGAGACAGCAGAGGTGAGAAATGATATTACAGTCACATACACTTGCACAGCATGAACTGTGTATGTAAGATGCCATTTTACACTTTAATGCTATCTTCAGGTAGAAATTAAGCAGGATGCTCAAGAAAAGTAGTCTCAGAAAGTGTGAGCACCACTTTGAGATAAGTGCAATAAAACTCCAGTCCTGGAGTAGTCCTGTGTACAGTCTGCACTGGAAATAACAACACAGACTACTATCTGAAATTTTCTTAGAGCAAGGAATAAAGTAAACAGCTTTCAACTTCATTTGTGCCCTCATTAGAGCAAAAAACTCAAAAACATGTGGTTTGTTTTTACATTGGTCCTTTATTCAAAGGGCCTCAACAGCTAATATACTTCTTCAGTCAGTGCTACAAAACACTATAAAATAATCAGCTTCACTGCTGAGAGTCTGTATGCTTAAAATCCACACTCCAGTAAGAATGCAGTGTATGAAACCTGATCCTTAGGCCCTTGGAACACCTAAAGAGTAGATGTTCTGCCAGAACCAATGAAACAACTTACAACACAAGCTTTTTCTGTATCTTTTTAGCCAGAACCACAATTGCTTAATGCAAAAGACCAAGCCTGCTATTAGCAACATGTTTTCTTACCAAGGTAAGTGTTCAAGGATTACTCTGAGATGAATTACCTGAACTGACTATCACAAAAAATTCTCAGTGAGAGTTTTTGTACCAAGTTTAGAAAAAAAGGCTGACATAAACAGTCTGACATACAAAGCCTCCTACAACCTTTCACTGAATTCTAGTATTTCGATTAAACAACAGGGCAGTTTCAGAAGGCATCACTTAGAGACTGAAACTGAACATTCATTTGTTCATAAAGGTTATGCAGAGTTACCAGTGAATAAAAACTAGGCAAGCAGTCCTTGAATCCTGTGGTGAACAGGAATTTAAATGTGGGCTTCAGGATTTCTCAAACATTACAACAGCAGTAAAAGAATCTTATTACAGCTACAAACCAGAAGACAGTCTACAAAGGTGTATTCAAAAAAGCAAAAACCCTGACTTTTTCTGATTTACCACTTTCTGCACAAACACTAGTTTTGTTACAAGATGTATACCATACAACACAAACTTCTTTTCCTTGACTATGTTTTAAGCTGAAAATGTTCTGGTCATTAGCAGAACAACGAAAAGTATGCAACTTCCCGAGCAACCTATTCCAAGTAGGACTCAAGACTAGCAGAGAAGACCTCAAAACTCCCATTAACTTTAACCAATGTTAAAGAAATTTGTAAGAGTTCCATACAGATTGTATACAGCCAGAAAGCAAGACTATATTTTTTTCATAAATACCTACTAAGCAAAGTGTCAGAATTATTTTCAGAAGATACTCTCCTCTGACCAAGTTTAAGGCTTGCCATAATCTTTTGCAAGCACCAAAGAAAAGCTAAGCTTCCTTGGCTGCTCTCACCTAGCACTGAATAATGAAATTGTCAGTCAGTATTGCTCATTGTGTATCTGGATTTCAAAGACAGGGAAATTTTCCCCAATATATTTAATTTTCAAAGTAAAATGGTTGCCTTCTTTTGTTTTTTTTCAAACAGAAGACAATGTGTTGTAGAAACTTCCTAAACACAGCCAATATAGTGGACAGGAACCTACAATGTTTTGACAAGTTATGATCTACTATCACCTCTCAGCAAAACAAAGATCATAAGACAAAATGAATATAAGAAGTACATGTAGACCAGAAGAGTTCCAGATCACTGGCAGATTTAGCTGTGTTCATATTACCATTCATAGTACCAATACATCAGGTATTTAGGCATCTTAGGTTTGCATAACCAAAAAGCCATCCTCAGGGTAAACAATTTCCCAGTCACAGAAAATATAATTTATAATTATTATTCCATAAACAGAGACTGTTGGCTTTGTAGAATGAGAAAAAAATCAGTTCACTATGTCTGCCTCAGTAGATAGCAATCTAGTGCTAAAAAGCACTGCTGAAGATTTTGCTATGAGGTACCTGCTCCAAATAATCATGCAGGAGGCTTCATGCATGATTACGCTTTCTTTGCCTTCCATGGCAAACAGCCTCTGACTGAACCAGATGCAAAAAAAGGAGTTGATTGCCTCCACCCAGAAGCAGTAATCCTTTTTTCAGGTGTGACAATACTTTGTCTTGTCTACAAGTTTACAAAGAAACAAGAGGAAGTGACAAGGACTTACATTAAACATACCTCAGCCTGACAGTTTAAGTGAACTTGGATAACTGAAGTATTATAAAGGATGGCTCTAGAGGATAAGGCCCAAAAGGGCCCTCCTGTAATAATGCCCCTATACTCTCCTCTGGACAGTCAGTATTGTGGAGAAGGGGTATGATCACCACAGACTCTTTAGATGACATCTTATGTGGCTAGTGCTAGACAACTCACAACACAGTAACAGTCTCTACTGTTGAGCCATTTACAGTACAGTTGAGGTGTATTTAGGAGCAGACACTGAAGTCCAGCATCTCGGCACCTAACAAGCTGTCCTCACTACCCTGTTACTGAATTAGGTAAATGTCTTCATTTTAGTATCAAAGAAAGAGCCAGAAAAGCTAATGGAGGCTCAGCTAAGCTATACCAATATTTCAGGTAGTAGCAGCAAGCAGTCAGCTAGAGACATATGGCAGTCAACTAGTATATAGTGGGACAAGGAGAAAGTCCAGTAAACGGGTTGTACAACCAGTTGCTAAAGCATTAATACCTTTGATAAAGTAAAACCTCTGAATGTAGGAGAGATTTAAATTTGAGTAGGATTTTTAATTATGTTAAGCATTCTCCATTTAAATCTGAAAAACATAAGGTATCTGTACATGTTTTCAAATATATCACTAGCTTAGGAAACAGAGACTTTATTCAGTAAGATGAAAGATTAGTCCTTAATCAGTTAAGTTGGAACTGAAAATGTAAAACAAGCAGAATACTGGTTAATCTTTGACCTTATTTTTATGCTTATTCTTTTGTCAACTTTTCATTATGCAGCCTACTTTAACATATTTCACAATAAAAAGCTGAAGGTATAATCAAGACATGGTGTTGAAAGATGGAAACACACAAAAACTATACGCACCCTATTATGGAATCTTGAAGGCCTGTATGTTCTTGGAGAGAGATTATACACGGCATAGTGGCCTGGATGTTTAGAATCAAGACATAGCCGCACATCTTCTATGTTATTTTTAATGGCAGATTCTACCCCTTCAGCTGGAAAGGACATCACTGAAGACAGAACAACAAAAAACAGGTATTTACTTTTTTCATATATTAAAAACAACCAGAAATTATTCTTAAGACATGACTATCGTACCAGCAATTCTGGAAGTGATGTATGATATATCCAAGTCTCCTTTTGCATAACTGAAACAGAATACATCAGAATTAATAGTAGGAAGTAGAACTATTCAAGTCATAAGTCTAAAACCCAGGTCTCCCAGGCTACACCCACCACCATGAATAATGTTTTATTTCTTTTATCCAAAGCTTGTTACCTCACACTTACAAGGTTTTCAGAACACAGTTTTTAGAATAGACCTTGTATTTGAACAGTTACTCAATCAGTTGCAACAGTACCATCTCAGGGGATTTTTTACAGATGCCTTTAATGCTTATCTCCTTTCTCTAGTTCATGCTCTTGCTGATAATCATTCATTACAGCTATCAGTTTGAAAGCCTAATGAGAATGTATTAACACCTTCAGTGGAGGAGAACACAATGCTTAAAACAGAGATCATTTGTTGAAACATTATATTTTAAATTATGTAATTCATGGCCCAGAGGGCCATGCTGCTCAAATTCTGGATTCCATATGAATAGAGGAAACCTGAATCTCTTTCCTCATTTAAAGCATTCCTCCAAAAATCCACTTCCAGAACTCCCATAGTGAGCAAGAGATTAATTATTACTCATCTATTTCTCATATAGTTGTTCACAGTTTTAAAGAACAGCATTTCTGAAAAATAATCTCTCAGTGGTTGGTTGGTTGTTTTTTGTTTTTTTTTTAATTTAGACCCATTCCCATCATCTCCACCTAATCACCCACATTATGCCAAAAATCTACTACACTAAGACCACTTTTTTATTGTTGTTTCTAGGGTACCTGCTTGTAGCAGGATGAAAAAAAAAAAAAAAAAAAAAAAAAAAAATCAAAAATACTGAAGAGCCCCAGTACAGGCCAACATCATTGAGTATAATCACATCGATCTGATAGGCAAGTAAGAAGTCTCACCTACAAAATTTGGTTTAAACATACCTAACTTAAATAAGTCAGTAACATATTATGTCCAAAATATCAAATTGTCATCACAACACTATGACCATGTTCAAGGAATCCAGAGGCACTATCAAAGTGACACCCTTATATTGCTATGTTGTGGTTTAACCTCAGCTGGCAACTAAGCACCACACAGCCACTCACTCCCTCCCCTCTTGGTTGATGGGGAAGAGAATCAAAAGGGTGAAAGTGAGAAAACTCAGAGGTTAAGATAAAGACAGTTTAATAGGTAAAGCAAAAGCCTTATGCACAAGCAAATTAAAATGGAATTAATTCACTATTTCCCATCAGCTGGCAGGTGTTCAACCATCTCCAGGAAAGCAGGGTTCTATCACATATAATGGTTACTTGGGAAGACAAATGCCATACATAACTCCAGATGTTCCCTCCTTACTTGAGCATGACATTACTAGTATGGAATATCCCTTTGGTCAGCTGGGGTCAACTGTCTCAGCTGTGTTCCCTACCAAGTTCTTGTGCACCCCCAGCTTGCTTGCTGGTAGGGTGATGCGAGAAGCAGGAAAGACCTTGAAGCACTATGCAGCAGTAACTAAAACATCCCTGTATTATCAACACAGGTTCCAGCACAAAGCCAAAACATAGCCTCGTACTAGCTGCTATGAAAAAAAATTAACTCCATCCCAGCCAAAAACAGCACACACTACAAAGTTTCAAGACACTGCCTGAAAGAGCAGACCTAGGGTAATGCACTCAAATATTGAAACATCGAGTGGAACGTTATACTTAGCTTCCTTAGTGCTTGCTGGTAAACATGAAGGAGGCTGGAGGGATTGATTAAAAGATTACTGAATTTACAAAGATTGGGAGGAAGATTTTATAAAAGGCAAGAACTGTTCTGAAAGTAAGAACATTAAACAGTATTTATGCAGAATGGCATAATCAATGTCCTAACAATGATAACTCAAGGTCTCAAGAGAAGCTGAAATAACAGCAAGGAAGTCTGAGACTCTCACTAGACAAAACACTAAAAAATTCAGCCTTAAAAACACCTTGCATGAGGAGGTAGGCAAAATGGCCAAGTAAACACTATTCCACATTTCTTTGCATTTTTGAAAGGACAAAGCTATCATGTGGCTCAGGTGGTAACACTACTGCAGCCAAACTAATTAAGGCAGAAATTTAAATTCAGAACTAATCATGGTTTCTTACTAAAATTATTAATAGGCATAATCCTTTGCATGACCAAGAAGTGTCAAATGTTGTTGTTTATATCCAGCTTGAAGCATGAAAACTTGTAGATCATTCTATCAACTTTTTTTCATATCAAGAACCACTTAACAACTTATCTGATAGCCTGAGAACAAAGAATCATTATCTCTTCAATGATGTAACACTGAAGTTAGGCAGCAACTGGAAACAGCAGCACAGAATCATTACGAGCAACAAGTCCTCACACCCATTCTTTTGGGAACACTTTCAGACACTGACTGCTTACTAGCAAGACCATTCAATTCAGATTTACCTTTCTCTAAGCTAAAATACACGATTATTAGTAGTATGGATCTCACCATACAAATATTGCTGAAGAAGTGCAGCTTGGTATGTCAGCAACAGACTACAACCAACTCAATCTTGCTGTTTTGCAGGACAAAATTTGGATACTTGTTATAATTGAAAAAGCATCAGAATATTCGTGCTGTCTTAATCAAAATGTAGCTGCTAAACTGTAAAAAACAACAGAAGTCTAAAATATATGCCCTTATCCCCAAATTAAAATTCCTTGGACTTAATTCTAAGGGTTTCAAAGATACTGCAACAGTAAAACTCGAACACAAGGTACTCCGTTTTTAGTGGAGTGTTTCAAGTCAGACTGGTAACAGATTTATTTAAGTGGCAGAAAGGTAAAAACATGAATATTCTTCACACCAGTAAGCATTCCTACACATTTCAAGATTAACCCTGTAAGTAAAAATCAGGAATAAGGTCTTTCCTTCCATGTTGTTAACATATGAAATTCCATTTACATAGTAATGTTGCTGGCAGATAATAAGAGTAGAAGAACATGCAAACAAGTTAAGAGACTTCATGGAGCATTTCTGGCTTGTGATGGATGTGGAATACTCAGTGTGCTTTTTAAGGCTCTAATTAAACTAAACAGGAAAGTATGACACCAATATTTTGACACCAACTTTTGACACCAACCAATATATGACACCAACTTTTCTGTTGATACCAGGATACTTCAAGGCTTTTTGGTGAGAAATCTAGTGGAAAACATGGCAAATAAGATATGATTCTCACTTTGCAGAAAGAATAGATAAACAAAATGTTTTAATTAGATGTTAAAAACCTCTCACTGTGTAAATGGTTGGCTTTATCGATCTTGCCAGAGAACAGCTGCACTTAAAGACTGTAACTTATACTAAACAAGAGATCATTCCAGAAAATTAAGGTAAAAATAATTTAAAATTAACAAATTCACAAAACAACTAGCATACAGCACAAAATTCTACAACAGCGCATAGTTACCTTGTTACTAACAGCTGAAGATAGGAAAGCATAAAGAATGACAACTAACCAGCACAGCTACAATGTAAGCACACAAACCATTATCTTCAGTTAAACAATGCTCTAATGTTAAGCAACCTTCCTCCAGACATCTCTACACCCATAAAAGTAGAAAAACATCTACTAATTAGCTGAACACGATCATTTTCGCAGCATATTTTTTGAAAGCCTGGAAGAAATGAAGCACTGAAATTCACATCCATCTGTTCCCACTTGGTTTTGCTTCACAGAACTGAATTAATCATTCAGCTACCTATTGCAACACAAAGATCCATGCAATAAGGCCTTAATGCTGCATCAAACCAGAATCAAGACTACCTTAGAAGCAAAGAAAGCTAGCAATAAAAGCAGCTAGTTGTTTCCTAGATTACTAGATCACAATCTCTTCAGTGAAAGAAACTGTTCTGACAAAGCAAAACAAGACTAATCATAAATTTTGCATGCTGCTTTCAATAACAGTGTTGTTAACAGTACCAGTGAAGACTGGATTTAGATACGGTTTTTGGCATCAAAACTGTAATCTTCGCAGATGCAAAGCTCAAAAAGATTAAAGCTGGTCAAGGGTACAGTAGCATCTCAAGCAAGAGATGGACAAGCTGAACAGAGGTACACTGAGGCTGCACAGCTGAGACTGATTTATCAGTCACACACCATTACACCTGCTGGAACAAAGATCCCTTCCATGCAGTTGTTGCTCTTGTCCTGTCAGGCCCTATCACATGGCAGTGAGTATCTGCTCTAAGTGTGTATACACTCTATAACTTTCTTTTAGGTCAGTTTGTATCAATAGAGGGCTGAACCTCTGTTGCTCTGTGTTCTCTCATGAAACTATGAACTGTTCTCAACCTGGAACAGAAATTGTGACACCTGTGTGGTGGCCTGGGGGACAATCAAGATGGTCCTCATTCACTCTCCTGCCCCAAGTAGCCTGTGACATGGGTTTTACTTTTCAGAATTTATCAATTAGGATAAAGAGACCAAAATTTTAATTAAGAAAAAGGCAGCTATAGGAAAGAAAGAAGTAACTTTCTTGTAGTAACTACAGAACACTAACTCTTCCACTGTAGCTTGGATTCAGTGAAAAAGTCTGTCTGCAGATAAATTCAGAAAAGCAATGATAAGTAGGAAGGAGAAAGCCTACTTAATGAGATGACAAGATTCCAGCTCAAGGAGTGTTTAAGTGTGGTAAGGAAAACACATGAAAAGAAAAGGACATTTTAGTTTGTCCAGAATGTCTGCTTCTCATGTTGGTTGAAGAATTTTGGAAAGGCAGTCAAGGATGCAACAGCAGAAAAGGTATTATCTGATGGTATGTGCTGTAGCCACAACACAAGTCCGTAAAGACAGAGAATGACCATGACACAAAGGTATGTCCTATAGTAGACACAAACAGAGAATTAACACTTCAACTGGCTTAAAGCATAAATAGTTTAACAATGCACAAACCCAATGGTGGGACTCTCACCAGAACAGTTAATGTTAAATACTAAAGAACGTGAAACTACCTTAGGTCCAGCATAATATTAAGTACATTGTGTACTGCTTATGTTAATTCATGTTTTGCTATTTCAGTGAACTGTTAAATACAGTTAAGACTCAAAATAGACAGGAGCCTTATCAAGGAATGAAAATTACAGAACTGAGGGACACTAAATGTTGGCAAATTACAAGTGGAGTTTCTCTTTCAGTATCAACAATATTATCTGGAAAATAAGTACTGAAGTAACTGGTTCTCACTAGTATAATTATGTACCTGGTGCATTCCCTCTTTTTCTTTAACTCCCCAATCCAATGACCAAATTCACTTAGATAACACAAGAAAACAAAAAGGCAGTTGTACGAAGACAGATGGTCCTCCACAAAACCAAGATTTTTTTATGTTAGTGCACAGCTTAAGAATCTGACAGTCTCACAGACTCTGTCAGAGAGAATGTGCAGATGTACCTAAATATAAACCCCGATTCAATCAGCCTAACCCAAAACATCTGTGAGGGACTGATCTCCTCATGAAGAATCCTGTAACTTAACATACCTTGTCAGTTCATCACAGCCCATGGAAGTGCTGTATCCCCCATTAGTTGGAAAAGGCCTCTGGCTTGTTGATCTAATCTGAATATTAGAATACTCCCATCCATTAATTGCTACAAACCAAAACCAGGTCAAACAATTACATTCACAAGCTACTCAATTCTAGTAAATACCCACATGTGACTTTCCATAATTAATACAAATAAGATGCAAAAAGTAATGAGCTTTTGACTAATATTTAATAAGTTCCACAAAACACACACTAAAATGTCTCTAACAGCACCTGCATTCCTGACACTGGGTCAAACACTACCACAAAGTAAAGAGTCATGCCAGATAATATTTGAATTACTTTAGAGAATTCTAACAGTTCCTTAGGTTTTAAGGCATATTTGAATTTAAATCATCTTGCCATGGGCCTCTGTGCAGTACTTGAGAGCATCAAGTTCCATCTCAACCATAGCTTCTCATTTCTGTCAAAAAAGGGATTCTAACTGAAGTGACAAGCGTATAGTTCAGCCACAGAACACTAACTATCAATTCAGAAGTAGAACTCTAAGAATAAGACAGATTCAAGACTTATTTTGGGTAGTCACCATAATCTAAACAAACAATTGTAGAGAAAAAGCATGTGAACCGAACAGCATCTTTCCTGACAGCAAGTACTCCCTGTCCTATACTTCAGAAGATGCCAGATGAACTCTACAGATACAGTTGGATGTACAGTCACTGTTTTGCTCCTTGCACGATACACTGATGGAACCACAGGAAGTCACACAAAGCAAAAGTCATACACACCTGTTAAATCAGAGAAATAAAAGATGCAGGCACAGCATAAGACATTCCACATTCAAATGACAATTTTGGACAGTCCTAATCCATCACTACAAGAAAAGGATAAACTAGCAGAAATGAAATTCAAGAAAATAATTCAATGTCCAGTGGTCTTTAAGGAAGAAACTGCTTGCAAGAGCAGGAAGAAGAAATTTCTTAACTGACTGATGAAGGCACAACCATCCAGAAAGTCATGAAAAGAGAAAAGCACAAGAAAGTGAAGTGCAGGGCTAACTTCAGAAGCATGTACTGTACGATCAAAACATATTATCAGAGTAAGAGGTAATACAGGAAAGAGGTATGAAAAAACAGGCCTTATACCTTTATCAAAGATAGAGAAAAATTAAAGTATTACCTGTCATGAAGAAATGTAATTTCTCCACTGCAAGACTTAAATCTAGGCAAAACTGGCAGAATTTGAGACAAGGGAGTTAAGTACCTTCAAATTTATAAATAAAGCTGTTGTGGTTTAGGCCTAGATGGCAACTATGCATCATACAACATTTGCTCTCTACTCCCCCCACTGTGGGATGGGGAGAAGAATCAAAAGAAAAAGGTAAAAAACTCCCGAGTTGAGGATAAGAACAGTTTAACAGGACAACATACAAGGAGAGAAGAAATAATAATAGTAATAACAACAACAACAATAATAGAGTAATATACGAAGTGAGTGATGCACAAAGCAATCGCTCAACACCCAGCTCGTTCCACAGTCACAATCCATTCTACACACAGAGTATATATACTGGTCACGAACTCATATGGTATTGCATATCCCCTGGCTAGTTCAGGTCAGCTATCCTGGCTGTGCCACTTCCCAGCTTGTGAAAATTAATTCTACCCTAGCCAAACCCAGGACAGTAAAGCTGTCAAAGGCAATCTGCAGAATATTCCCACTTTTTACTACAGAGTCAATTTTGTTTAACAAGGTACCACAAAAGGAACAGAAGTAGGACTGAAGAGGAGGGGAAAGGAAGATCAGTTGCACAGAAGGTGGCAGCAGGCATGAGAAGAACAGAGGTCTGCAAGACAGCACATGCCAAAGAAATAAAATGGAGAGCAGTTGCTTAAAAGTTGCATCTCATCATGTTACTTGATACATGGAATTCCTACAGTTCTGCTAAGATGCTTAGCAAGGCAACGCTTTTCATCATGCAACAGTTCATTCCCTTCATACATCTCCCTGTCTTCTCTTGAGTCAGTGCAGTTTCCCAAAGGGTGAAAAGTTTGATGCAACTGCGTCAACTGCTTCTGTAGAAAGCCTCAGGTCAAACCAAAGATGCATTGCTTTTGTAACATTTTAAAAAACATAGAGGACCTGGCCTTTCTAAGCCACACAGGAAGTTTAACAAGGTGTTAAGAGCAAACAGCTAAAAATGCACTTGAAGAGGCTACAGAGATCTAAAATCTATAGATCGAACTTCTGATCATTACAAATTACACTCAGTGACAGAAAAATATATTGCAAGCAATACATTTCACAAGCCACAGTGCAGTATCCCAATTAAAGGGCCACAACCCCTACAATGAGGGACAAGGTCAGTACTCATTAGGAAGCTCTGGTTCAGTCATGGTATTCAGTAGTGACTTACCTGCTCTTCCAAGAAAAAAATTTTTACATTGCCTAAAATTTTATTATGAGTTAAAAATGTATGAATCATACAGACTGATTAATATTGATCATATAGAGGTACCAGAAACATTCGAATGGGACTAAAAATCTGATTAGAAAAAAGTAATCACACACTAGGTATTTGAGAACCCATGCATCAAAACAGGACAGAGTTCTTTAATGTAACATAGGGCAAAGGGTGTAAGATTCCACAAGCAGCTTTTCTTCTCACCTCCAGTCCCTTTATTTGTACCTTTCACAACTCAGTGGTTTTTTCTTCCTTATTCATGGAGGACCTAATTCAATTAATTCATTCTGAACCATGACAGTCTTATTCCATATCCTTCTGCCCTGCTCCAGCCCCCACCTGCCCATCTCTCCCAAGCTTTCAGTATCTAAAATACAGAAAGTAGTACTTACAGACAGGCTTTCACCTCCAACACTTATTTCCAGTATATGATTGCTAAAGTAACTTTTATATTAGTATCATTCACAAAATCTCAGGGCTAGTAACCAGCTATTAGAGCTCATACTTGGAAAAATATGCCGAATTTGATTATTTTTGGATTAAGTTACTAACCCTTCATTTAGAACTCTTACCAGCACTTTTTTTTTTCTACTCACTTGGCCACAGACTGGATAACTTTAGAAGATGTATCCTTAATATTAGTGAAAAATCGCTCTGTTCCACCCCTCAGAATATCAAAGAACCCTCCATAAGTCTGGTCACATTCCGCAATGGTCAGGCCTAGAGTAGTCGAATAAAAATAATTGTACTTTAAGTCATATTCTGGAATGGGCTCTATACTAAAGCAAGTTGACTACAAACTTACAGGCTACACCTTGCTGTAAGGCTTACAGTTCTCAAGTTCTCCTTAACTATGAACTATGCCTGAAGGAGTTACTTCCTGCAGTCAGAAGGTACTATCTAACTACTTAACACGTTTAATTGACCCTGCATTTAAGAGAAAACAAGGTAATAAATTTCTGAAAACATTTGTTTTGCATTACCAGTGCAAAAAAATGCTGTCTTTCTTTAGTATCAGCCTCTTAAAGTGCAGCTTATCACTAGCAAATCTACTTAGGCATGCCCAGAGACATTTTAATGCAAGGATTCAAAAGCACCTAGCATAACTAAGCTATTTAAGCACATCACAGATGATAGCGCAGCATCCCAGCACAACTTCCCTATTACTATGATTGTATACAAACACTACTCGTTCTTTCACAAAACAGATAGCCAGGCATTCATTTGTTTATAATCCCATTAGTAAATTGGATTCTTCCACAGAAATTGATATCCAGATAACATTACTCCTGTAAATATTGCCCCATTTTAAAAGTTTCCCTGGAACATTAATATCCTTTGCCAGCATAAGAAATATCAAACAAGAAATATCAAGCTGGAAGAAAAATCGAATACAGTATGAAATCTTCCCTTGATATGTTCTACATTAATTGAAGTGGTCCATATTCACACATGATATATTCATATATGATAAAATGGGTGCAGAAATTGCCTTTTAATACAAAATTAGATGCAAATAATCCTATCAATATAGTAAAGAAAACTGAAGCTTAAGTGCAAGAATTTCAACTGGACGAACTCTGCATTTTCTGTTTTTACAGAATGGGTATGTCAGCTTTTAACTGTGTCATTGTGAAGAAGTGCTTTGACTGACTCAGTTTAGCACTGCTAGTCCAATTACTGTCTTTCCTCAGATGGAACCACAACTCCTCCTCACCACTGATGTCCTATGGTGCAGCCATCTTCTGAAGTCGTCCTTGCAGAACACTCCCATAATTATTTGGGCTCCAGGCAGTACCAGCTATGACTATTTCTGAAAGTACTGACTGGATAGCCAATAGGCTGTTGTTCCTTCCTTTTGAGACTGTCAGACATGAATCTTTTGGAATTGACAAAACTAAATAGCTTTAGACTATGATCACTCTGTTATATGTACGTCAAGTTATCACAGGGGGTCAAAACTCCTTTTTTAAAGATCTCAGATGCTTACAGAAGTATTTCTTCCTCATACAGTCTTTTCACTGACTGAAATAAATACATGTCAGGTCAGTGACTCCTTAACATTAATGAACTACTGTAGTCCATAGTCAAAATCCCTCCAATTGCCTCTGCATTTCTTTACTGGACTACCTCAGCCATTAGACACCAAGGCTGTTTTAGCATAAACTCATACCAAAAGCTACAGAATGGCTGCTATCTTTTTAAATTGCAACATATCTGATGTTAAGCAGTTCTTCTCGGAAGATGACAACTGTCACTTTCTTACACTAAACACCCAATATTGTGCACAAACTTAGGATATGTACTGATTTTAGTAACTTCTGCCACAAAATAACAAGGTGTCAGTTTAAATACAGCACTTCTGAGAAGATTGTTTAATTTTACAATCCTCAAATTCTCCTCTTTACACAAGACACTGTCAAATATACTTGCCTCACTGATTCAGAAAGTTTGGGGTTTAAAATAAGACATTTTTATTCATCTGTCATAACTGGAAGACTACTTTCTCTGCAACTCTTGTACTTAAGAACATTACTGCTTATTGTATCCACCACTTTCATCAAGTTTCAGTTCACTTATTTCAACTCTCCTCCATCTACAGGCCAGTAATGCATTTTAGTTTCTATTATTTTACACAGGAAACCAATTTTATCTTGCTCAGCAAAGAACCTGAGAAATTCACATTTACATGTATCAACATACAATCAAACACTGCAAATATTAAAACAAGGTTAGAAACAGTGATTATAGATGCAAAAAAGCTAATCCTTCGGCAAAATGTCTAAAATCACCAAATAATTTTATTTTTTTTTCCACACAGAAGATATGCAATTGCTTCTACCTTAAGATGATGTCTCCTGCACTTACCTGCATTGTACATATTGTTGAGCTGTCCTGCAGGCTTAGAGCTCTGTGAAACAGAGGTCACAGATGTCCGAGGCTGAGCACTGTTTCCGTAGCCTCCATTTTGTTCTAGGAGCTGAGAAGATTAATACCCACTATGAGTATTTTCTTGCCAATTTAGCCAACTGCTTATGCTTTGTAAATTACTTTTACTTGGTGAGAACAAACAAGCTGAACCTCAGGAAAAAGCCAGGAAGACAGATTAATTGATTCCCTTGCAGTATTGTGCAAATTAAGCATTGAACAGAAGACACCTAAGTGGGTTTCAAGTTAGTGAAGGCAGAGCCTTCATATACAAGATTTTTCTATGCAAGTTAATTATGATTAAATGTAGTATGCCAAACAGATCACTTGCATACTAAAGAACGACCCAAGATCATGAGAAGTTTTTCAATGAGTAGTTAGAACTACAACTAGTTTCCTTTAATGTCTCACAAGCTCTGTGCTTTAAAAATCACATTTTTCAAAGATCCTTCAAGTGATGCAGATCAACTCAACTGAATTTCAAAACAAGGCAGTGTGAAACTTTCAAAAGACTAAGAAGCCAGACCTGCTCTGATACCTGCTATTAAACTCACAGTCACTAGATAAGAGAGGAGAGAAAGGAGACCTAATCAATAATACTCCTTATAAGACATCTTTACCTCTGTGATGGGAGATTTAGGATTCACATTCCTAGCTGCTGCAACCTCCTGCAGTTGATTCACAAGTTCAGTGATTGACAATCTCTCCTCTGGGTTCACCTTCAAAGTGGAGCCTAAAAAAGGAGATACAGACCATGTAACAAACCGTCAGGGCTTTTCTCCAAGCAGATATTCATAATTTCTACAGTGGATTGCAGTGCAATAAGCATCAAATACATGAACAGTGTGGAGCAAGAACTAATTCCATATCCAAGATCATTGTCATAACAGGTATACATGAAAAATACCATTTAGGGTTAAAAATATTTCAAAAAATACACTTTAGAATCAATTAATGAATAACATCAGAAAAAACTTTATATCTAACAGTGTTGGACTTGGAGACGTATTTCTGGCACTGTAACTGAAGTTTCCAGTAATCTAAAAAAATAGAATTTTTAAAGCACATTCAAAGAAACTAAATCAAGACACTAGTATGGATAATATTATGGACTAATTCAGATCCTAAGCAAGACAGGCAACACTACTGAAACACCCAAAGGTTTCATTTACTGTCTCCAAATTTTTTGATAGATTAAAATTTTTATTAAAACTAAGTTGTTGCAGCTAAATTTTTTCACCATTACATGTCAATAACATTTAACTATCAGTAACACAACACTGTCAATAATAAAATGCATCCATAAAGACACTGAATTAAATAAACATTGTAAACTTACGAATTAGATCATAAAACACAGAATAGCGGTTGTCATTTTGTGGGATGACATATTTCCCATTGACTATGCGAAGTTTTGCTCCATCTTCAAATGGATGTTGCCTAAAGCACAGCAAATACAGGATACAGCCCAGAGCCTACACAGAGATAAATGCAGAAATATTTCATAGAATCATTTAGGCTGGAAAAGACCCATAAGTCATGAAGTCCCACCATTATCCTAACACTACCAAGTCCACCACCAAACCATGTCCCTAAGCACCATGTATACACACACCTTTTACATACCTCCAGAGATGGCAACCCACACACTTCCTTGGGCAGCCTGTTCCAATATTTGATAATGTTTTCAATGAAGAAATTTTTTAAAATATCAAATCCAAACATACCCTGGCATAATTTGCAGCCATTTCATCTCATCATATCCCTCGCTACTTGAGAAAAGAGACCAACATCCACCTCGCTACTATCTCCTTTCACATAGTGGTAGAGAGCAGTAAGGTCTTCCCGTGGCCTCCAGGCTAAACAACCCCAGTTTCCTCAGCCACTCCTCACAGGACTTGTGCTCTAGACCCTACAACAGCTTTGTTGCTCTTCCTCTGGACTTTCTCCATTCCTAACATATTGCTTGTAGTGAGAAGCCCAAAACCCACAGTATTCAAGGTGCAGCCTCACTATTGCTAAGTACAGGGGAATGCTCACTTCCCTGTCCCTGCTGGCCACGCTATTTCTGATAAGAGCCAGGATGCCATTGGCCTTCTTGGCCACCTGGTCATACTGTTTTTTTCTACCCACCAGCTTTCCAGTCACACCTCCCCCAGCCTGTAACAGTGCATGGGGCAAGTGCGGGACCCAGCACTGACCGTTGTTAAGTCTCATACAATTGGCCTCAGCCCATCGCTCCAGCCTGTCCAGATGCCTCTGTAAAGCTTCCCTACCCTCGAGCAGATCAACACTCCCACCCAAGTTGGTGTCATCTACAAACTGAGGGTGCACTCGATCCCCTCATCAAGATCATCAATAAAGATGTTAAACAGGAGCAGCCCCGACACCAAGCCCTGGGGGACACTTGTGACCAGCCACCAGCTGGGAGGAAATCAGGGGGGCATGGAATGGATAGCCTTGGTGTGAGACTGGCAGAGCCTCAGGCAGGGAGGCAGGGGCTACTGATGGCTGCTTCAGTTACTGGTTCTCCTGTCTGACAGCTACAGTCCTGGACAGGGACATGAGCAGATCATGGTACAATTCTGTCCTCTTCCTCCTCTGCCACTCAAAGGAGTGTTGCAACTTTATACAAGGATATTGACCCAAGCATAAAGAAACACCTTATCTTGTACATCCACACCTTATCTCATATCCTGTGACAGACAGTATCATGGTCTTACAGGAAGCTGGAAGGTTCCCAAAGCCATGGACAAAAGGAGTTCTGCAGCACCCACCTATGTGTGAAGCTTATCACAGAATTTTAGAGGTTTATAAATAAAAATTTTCTGATTCATAAACCCATTGGCTGGTTCTTCTTGCCTGTGCTGTCTTTAATTCAGGCAATTATTTTTAAAGCAGATTTTTAGATTATGAAATTGATTCCTAGGTTCCTAATACTGCTTACAAATCACAGGTTTCAGTCATTAGCTGCTGACTCATTCAGCTGTATTCCCAGCACTTTAGAGCTCAGCTTCACACTCCTTCAGAAATAATTAGTCTTGATGTTTCTCAGGAGACAGAACACTTATTGAAACATTCATTTGTTTGGCATGTCAAATAGAGAGCTCCAATCAGCCATACCGTTACTAAAAAGATTTATGGGTTTTTTCCCTTTCATCGAAGTTTTCAGGTTCAGGGATTATTCTATTCCTGACATTTTAAAAATTATAGTAAGTCCATTTTATGAATTCCACAGTATACAAAGCTGAGTAGTCTTCCTGAGACACTGAATCCTGTTCTTTAACATGTTTTTCTTACAAACAGTCTCAGAAGATTTGTTTATCTTCATCCTGTGCTTCAAGGAGACATTTGTGGGGATGGAAATTGGTCTTTTAAAACACCAGTATTACAATTTCTTGATTTGTCTTTTGACACACTGCCAATACAGGTAACAGCTGAACGGCCTGACACCTGCCTCTAAAAAATATCCAAAACTTAAGTCCCCAAACACAAAGTCACTGGGTACTACCTCAGTACTATTACAGTATTACACAACTGAAAAAAGGTACAACTGAGGATTTAATGTTTACCTTTAATCCTGGCTACAGTTTTTCTAGTCAGTGTTAACAATTTATCATCCTTTCTATACACAGAATCACAGAATGGTCTAGGTTGGAAAAGATCTTGGAGATCATCCAGTCCAACCATTTACCTAGCACTGACAGTTCCCAACTACACCATATCCCTCAGCGCTATGTCAGCCCGACTCTTAAACACCTCCAGGGATGGGGACTCCACCACCTCCCTGGGCAGCCCATTCCAATGCCTAACAACCCCTTCTGGAAAAAAATGCTTCCTAATATCCAGTCTTGACCTTCCCTGGTGCAACTTGTGGCCATTCCCTCTTGTCCTGTCACTTGTTACTTGGTTAAAGAGGCTCATCTCCAGCTCTCTGCAACCTCCTTTCAGCTAGCTGCAGAGGGCGATGAGGTCTCCCCTCAGCCTCCTCTTCTCCAGACTACAAAGCATGAACAATCTCTGCATCATTCTCATCCTTGCTATCTGTCTGTATTTTATCTAGATAAATACCTAGACATAACCATTTCAAACTCAGCAATAGGCTGTCCAAGAATTAAATGCAGAGTATGCAAGGCAAGAATCTGAATCAAAGCACTGTAAGTATTCTGTCTCTATCATGGCAAGCTCCAACTAAGCAACAGCTCTACTGAATGCCCAAGAAGTTGGAACATTGCCTCTCATAGTGAAACTTAAGCTAAATCTGGGAGAAACCTCAAATGTTATATCCTATTCTTTTAATATTTAGATACACAGTTCCTACAAATTTTTTATTTTGATATAAAACAATCTATCCAGTGTTTATTTTGGTGCTTTTATTTAATCAACAAATTAATATCAAGACTGCAAAATCAATTTCACCATGATATAGGCAGCTGTGATATAGCAAGAGAAAAATTTCTTACCCAAATATCCTGTTTTTCACCAATTGGAAAATTTGAATACAAGTCTATCATCTCTGGTGTCCTGTACATTGGCGTTGTATTCCTTGTGATCTGCAGAAGACAGAATTTCTTGAAACAGAAACTTGAATAAGCTGTAACTGCATTCAACCAAGGAAAGAGCTCTCCATGTAGAATGGATAGCATTCTAACTTTTAAAATTAATTTCAGAAATACTGAAGGCAGAAGCCATCAATTGAATCCTGCAGTAAACACTACAGCTTTACTCTAAGGCCGTATAAAGACAGCAGTATTCAAATAAGTAATACTGTGATATTCAAGAGTCCTTCTGCAAAGCACGAAATGACTGTTCTATATGAAGCAAAAAGGCATATAGACATAAATACAGAAAAAACAATAAACCACAAAGTGAATTCACACTCCAATGTCTATTTCTCACTTCCTCATCATACTTAATGACAGTGCAGATACATCCAAAGAGTTAAGCTATGTTCACAAGGATCCCTGAAGAGACATTTTGTACAATCTTTTTGCATAGACTATACAAGACAGTGGCACAACATCATCTGTTCTTCTCCACAGACCAACGGAATGCTCCCCAAGGATGCTGGATTCCAAACCAAGGAGAGTTTAGAGACTCATGCTATCACAAGTCATACACATGAATTTCAAGTGTCACTGTATTTCTCCATACTTAAAAGTCTGAATCCAGCTGATGTATTAAATTAAATTTGCCAGCATTACTCTCAGCCTTTAAGAAAAAATGCATTTTGCAAAATCCAGTGTGTGCTTGCAACTGTCACTGTAGTCCTAGGGGCACTGCCTATTCAAATTCTGCTGAGCAGACTTGCTGTTTCTTCATATATCATTCAAATGAGAAAAACAGATGCGAAGGTGGGAATCACTTCGACATAACTAATTTTTTTAATCCTGTTAAGAGTGCAATTAGAATACGCTCTAGCAATCCCTTCTGTTTTCATACCAGATTGCAGAAGGGACACTGCTCAAGTTGAAGCAGTGTTTGTACACACAGCTACAGAACACAAGGTATGATTGTAACTGTAGACACTGTTTGAACTCTGGAACACAAATACAAAACCAGTGCTTACAAAAACACTGCAACCTTCAGTTGTCTTACAAGTCCCATGAATCAATATCAGATTAGCAGTAACAGTTAAATGAATCTGCTTGTTGTGATTAATCTTAATATCACTAAAATAGCCTCACCTCTTCTTCAACCAATGCTCTCTTTTGTGCAGACCAGTTGTAGTCAGGACAGTAAGCTATAGTTGTTGCACTGCCAAAGTCACAAAGTTTAATTGTCCCTTGGTTACTAATGAGCAAGTTCTCCACCTTCAAAAGGAGACAGAATAATAAAGATTTTTTTTTCTGTACACTAACACACATGCTTTTAATCAAACTCACTTGTTCATATATATAAAAAAATACTCACTTTAGCCCAGAATGTTGTTCACAAGAGCACAACGATTTCAGACAGTACTATAGATGTATATGGTAGCAATATGCCAATTTTTAAGAGGAAGAGCCAAAACCAGTATGAAGAGGAAACATTCAAGGGAACAGGAAATGCACCCCAGGAAAGAAGGGGACAGGTTTTCAGAGGACGACTTTCAAAAGCAGTATCTTGGAATCCAAGTGATTGCATACATAAAATGGAACACTGTTAGCTTAATTGCAGTGGAGTGGAGGTTATGACTGCTGTAGACAAAACAGGAAGGTACTAGTAGAAGCAGGCTGCTGTGGGACACCCAGAAAGAGGCAGCCATAATCCTGTGCAGAAACAGAAACTAACTATTTGAGGACCATGTGCTGCCTGAATAGTTAGTTCATCATCATCCCTCCCTCTTTCTACTTCATAAAATCCAACATTCCTAGATTGCTAAGTGAAATGGAGAAACTTAAGGGGAGGGTGAAAATAGGTATTGGGCAGAAGTATCACGTGATCATAACCACAGAAGAGCTGAAAAAGAAAATTTGTACCTCTGTATGAAGTCAGGAAAAGATGTAAAAGAGGCATATTAGTAAAACTACAACACCACACTTCAGATAACTAGGTTTGTCCTCCCTTTCCCTTTGAAGCCACAACATCTCTGGACTTCCTTCTGTAAAATTTCAGTTTTGCAGAACATCCTACTAGCCTCCCTTAGTGGTCCATTTACTTGCAACTTCCACCATAAAATTAATTTTGACTACCCTGCAGAAAGACATAAGCTGTGTTAATGATATGGTTAGAGTATTGATCTCAATGATTAATCTAAATTCCCTTCTGTTGGACAGATAACCTTTGCTTATCTCCATGTACAGTAAGACGGTGGGCATTCAATGTCAAATTTATATACTAAAAATGGCCACAGTAAGACCAAGAAATTAAGCTTCTGTGCACATATGTTCTGGGTTTCGTGTTTCAGTAAAGGTTGCCAATAATGTAAAACATTCCAGTTGATTATTCAGATTTTTACAAGCTCTACGACCTGTGTTATGCAGACTAGTTGTGTGCTGCATGGCAAATCCTGAAAAGATTAAATTCAGACAATTAAAATATCAGAGAAGCACTGGTATTTTACAAATCTCCCTCTAACTAGCTTAGAATTTTTACAACTTGTAACTAGCTGGGTTCTTACAGTGTTGTATGCACACGTTAAGTGCGAACTTCATCCAGAGGGGTTCAGGAACAAGGAATGCACTATACTGACAAACAAGAGAAGGGAACCACAGTAGGACAGAGACAGCCGCCACTACAAAGGTGAACCTGCTTTTAAGCTGTGCTGTAGAAATGCATGAAATCTTAAACTTTTAGTCAAAATAGTTGAGAAAAACCTGTTAGGACTCCACTCTACTACGCGCCTCCCCAAAAGCTACAGTGGCATCTCAGGTCTCATTTGAAGTTGGCTCAAAACTTCAACCTACAGTTGTTTATGCTGCTGACATAAGTTCAGCCTTCTGGAAAACATAGCACATGTCCATGACCCCTATTCGCTTCCTGGTTGTAGCAAGGTCTCTGCTTATTACAGCACAACTATCTTATAATCTTGCTTTGCAGTCCCTGTATCATAAAACCAACATGAAACCACATTCCTGCCTTTTCCTGTATTTTATCTCTGCCAGGAGCATACATTTCTTGACAAGAGAAAATAGACCTTGAATTGCAGCATTAGCTCGACTTTTATGAAGCTGGCTATATAAGAAATTGTATATTTATTTTTAAATTTTTTTTTACCCCTTCTTCAGAAAAGAGATGCACCTTTTCTACAAGCTCTTCTGGTGGCTGGTGTATAGAAGTTTCAGTGATGAATAAAAGATTTTATTCTAGCAAGTAACACCAAGAAAGTTCTACCCCAGCCTGGTTAAAATTTCTTTACCATGAACTGGAAACCTGCTCAATAATACTGAAAAGGAAAAAAAAAATGCCTCTAAGTTTTTTATACTGAGGGGCTATATTAATATTTAATATCAAAGCTTTCAATAACAGTGTTGAAAACATTTAGCACATATTTACTTTTAAAAAGCAGTTTCATTTTCCTTTCCCCAAAGCAATAAAGACATCGTTAAGGAGAAACAAGTTTTCCTTTTTTTTATATTCAGCTGATATCACATCAAGCAGGAAACAGACATACATGTGAAATTGAGACACTGTTTCAGGAATAAGAGTCTTCTTTCCCTTATTTTGTTTGTTTACAAAGACCACCTCCTTCCACTAGATTTAAACATATTTCTAATACAGCAGAATCTCACTGATGATTAGAGATTCCTCATCTGAAATATAGCATAGATGTAAAGGTGAACCCCCGCCCTCAAAATACAAAATTCAAACACGGACCAAGTCCTTTCAGATCTTCAAAGTTTCCAAGGGGACAACACTTGCTATAGCATAACCCTATAGCATATTGGTAAAGGCTAACAGAGTGAAAAATTAAGAAATAAAATGTATCAAGAATTATGCCTACTAAATTTTAAAATTCAACTTAAAAACAAGCACTAAAATGCAATGCAAGTCATTAATTCTAAAACTGTTTACTATGCATTCTCAAAGGCTACATAATCTTTCATAGAGAATTCAACATTACCTTCTGTTCTCCAAAGCTTTAATTCTATTTAGAAAACCTGCTCACCCTAAACCAGCAACTTCTAATTCATAACTGGTTATTTTATGAAAAGCAAACTACTTAAAGACTAACTTAGTCAGCAAACCATATATACTATCTTTCTGTCAGCTTGTTCAGATAAGAGTACAGGTAGTACTAATCACAAGCACAAGAAAAAGATGTTTGAAAAGATGACAGCCAGTAGTCTTAGCAAGGCAGTATATGTAAGCACTATGCTCAAGCGTGTCCACCATATTTGATCAACAGTCTTAACAATGATTCAGCCCACCAGGCTCCTTTGCTGTTTAATAATCCAGCCTTTATTGAAAAATTGTAACACACCTTTAAGTCTCTATGGATAATAGGAGGTTTCTGTTTATGCATATGCTGGACTGCTCTGCAGGTCTGATAAAAGATCTTCAAAACTGTGTCACAGGAGATAGGTCCCTTGGATTCTACTTTCTTTAAGAATTCCACCAGCTGTCCTGCAGGAAGGCAGAGAAATTTGCATAAGCATACAGAGCATGACAAATTCTGAAAGCCTGACATGAATAGACAAACTGTCTTCTCAGCAAGGAAGATTTGCAGTCTGGAGTTGTAATATTAGATGGATATTCTGAAAAATGGAAAATCCACACAGACTACAGTGCTGAAGAACTAGTCTCAAATACTAAGAACCTAATGATTATCCCATATTTAAGATCAAGTTGAACGGTAGTCTCAAAGAACATGACCCTTATCCCATATAAGATGACATTGAACTCTCTCTCCACTGAACTACACTGTCTTTAAAAAGCTTTCAAAGCTAGTCATCTGTGAAGCAACCTGTGCAAAACAGCTGTCAGAAGCTACATGCACTGGTGGGAAAAGAAACAGAATTTACCTTTACACAGCTCTGTAAGCAGAAGAAACTCTCCCTGTCCCGTGTCTGATTCTTCTTTTCCTATAGATGCAGCAGAGCAGAACTGGACAATGTTGGGATGACCTGAAAGTTTTTTCTGGAGATTACATGTTCAAGGAAGACAACTGCCAAGTTTATTGATCCTATTGTATGCAGTAGCTCACATGCATCTCACTTGAAATATTAACTTAAAGTCACAGAAAGCATTACAGCTGCTGCAATTAAAATACTAAGTAGAACAGGTAAATCCATACCTCAGCTGAAAAAAAAACAACAGACTTCAAGGGAAGCCACTGAAAATAATGTAATAAAAAGTCAAAATGAAACATTAAAAAAGAATCCTTGTGATTAAGGCTCTGAGGAAACTGGACTTTATTAACAAGCCTAATTACTTCTTTTTGTCTTTTGGCAATGACTTCAAGACATCAGCACAAGTACCAGAGAAACCTTTTAATTATCAGCTGCTTCTCTACCTGGCTGATCAAGACAAGGCTATTGTATCAAGACCTGTCTTTCCAAAACATGCTATGCTATTAAATGTTATGTTTCAATTTTAAGTATTTAAAATAAAGTTCAAAACAAATACAAGCTCTTAAAAAACCAAAGGAACTTATCTTCCCATCAGTAGTAATAATTCCTCATACTTAACCCTTTGTCATGTTTCATTTCAAGTTCAAAAATTCAAGATATCATTTCTGAACTATATAAAGGGGAATAAAATGTAAGTAATCTCAGTTCCTATCAGTGGAAGTTATACTGCATTATAGCTGTTTCTGTTGTCCCTGATGTGTATCACCTTGGTCATATACAGTCATGTCTATGAGACAAACACACAAATTTATAAGATGCATTCACATAGTCTGAAAAGAAAAAAAGCAAAGGCATCATAAGTAAAACAAAGCTATAAAAAAAAATAAGCAAGTTGGATGCAGCAAACTAGAATATCCAAAGTACTATTTTATATCTTAGGCATCTCTTCATAACTTTTCACTCAGATCTGCAGAAATTACTTTCATTTCGCAATTATATCTTGCAAAGTTAGTAACAGTTAACCCTTGCTCATGTTGTATATGCTTTAGTGAGCCTGAGCTGTGAAAAAACATCCAAAGAACATTGACTACTTTACTCCTGGTAAGATACAGTGAGAATAGATAAGAGAACGCACAGTGCTGTTGATAGTCCCACTTTGCAAATGTACTTCCACCGAACCATGTTTAGTGCAAGATTTTGCCAAATATTTCAGTAATCATAGAAATAAATATTTAAGTATCTTAAATTAAGATCAGTGGTTTTGCCTGGTAACTTCAAAACAAAGCTGAATACTCAAGAACGGAAAACAAAACTGCAGCATACCACAGCCACGCTGACTCTTGAAACAAACTGAGGGACTCGGAGACAATGCTGGGGAGCAAACATTAACCTTACTAATGCCAAGGACTGAAAACACTTTGAGATTACATTATACCCTTCCATCTAACAACACTGAATATGAAAAGGACAGCAATGACAGAGAAATACCTTGTTTTGATATATATATTCTGCTGAAATTCCTTCCTTAATATTCTGTATTACTTTCTAAAGCCAGATGAATATGATACAGAAATTAAGAAACACTGAGGGTAAAAACAAAGTTTTGAATAGTCAAAAAGGCAATAAATGCAGTGCATGATAGGGAAGTCTACTTAAGAGCTAAGTATTATCTAAATAGTCCAAAGGTCTCTTGACCATAGAGGACTGCAAGAAAGCTCAAATAAGAATTTTACTTCTTGCTAGACAAAATACCTGACAACGTCTACACTAACTACAAAAGTCATCTGCACATATTAAATTCCTGCAATTTATAAAGAACGGAATTTGATGGATGTTGATGCCAATGCCAGATGCATGGCAATCCAGGAAGCCACATCTTTCTCAAAATGTCACTCCTTTTAAGCAGCGTATGGCATGGAAATAACATAATCTGTAGAGAAGTCCTCAGTTTCTCAGAAATGTTTGGTATCAGGCAATTACATCAAAACATTAAAGTATGTTCCAAAAAAGGATACCATAAAACAAACTTCCTGAATGATGGCTTTGTTCTTTTCTTCTTCATTAGACAACAATCGCTGTCAGAAAACAGAATATTTTAGAAGATACAGTTCCCAAAACTTACAGAAAAGCAGTGCACAGAACACTTTTTTCCAGAACACAAGGATAAGCTACAGTCAAATACCTAAAGAGCTGTGATGGGACAGTAAACACAGCAGGCTTATTGTACCATTGGAGCATACTGCCATAAATATCCAGTTTTCCAGTTAGCTGTACTGTTCATGTTTAATGATAGCAGAGGAGTTGTAACCTTTGACAGAGAAACTGCTCTGAGAATTTTTTGTTCTATAAAACACTTAAGTCTCCTGGCTACAGCATTGTGCACTGACTAAGAGATTCATCTACTGCCTCAAATCTTTAAGAACAACCTTCAACCTACTCCAACCAAAACTTCTCCAAATTACGTAGTCTAACTTTTTCAATGGTACCTAAGTAATCAGCATCAAACCCAAGCATTACTATTTCCAATATCACTGTATTTGGAGTCAACAATTGACTAGAATCAACCTGAGCATTTGCTACAAAAGACCAGTTTTGCAAAACAGAGGAAGTACAGCAATGGTTCACCTTTTCTCTGTTATTTTTAAATGGGGCTACTTCTAGATGACATTTTAAATACACACACTGTATGGGTTTCATCACATGTTTTGTTACTGTAGGACATGGTATAAAAAGGAAGAAACCAGACCAAGTAATTACTGGTGGTGTAATGCCACCTACCTCTTTACAACTCTCACACTACTACCCTTTTCACTTTCTCTTCAAGATAGGTATCTTCATACTGCTACAGCCACAGAGCATCCCTAACTCCAAAAATGAAGCCATTTTTCTGGTGAACACAAGTGACATGACTTTTTTTTGCAACAAAATATGACAAAGTGACTTCACTTTATTGTCCTTTCCATAATAGTTCAGTTTTGCAGCTCTTACATGATAATTATAAGCCCTCAGAAAAAAATGCAGGAGTGTCCCTGAAGAGTGCCAAGCTAAACATTTGATCAATGAGTCAAAGGGTGGAGCACTATTTTTAATACTGATGAAACTTACTCTGGTAGGTCAATCAGTAGGCTAAGTCTGATTCTGAGGAGTGAAAATAATCCTGTACCCCACTTGAGATAACTAGGAGAGATTCCTTTTACCCATACAACAAAATGTTTGGGGCATAGTCATGAATTCCTAGACCAAATGAAGAGAAACAGCAGTAGTACCTAACAGAGCAACTCCCATCTTTGGCATCTAAGTATGAAGTGCAGGGTCCTAACAAGACTGACCACTCTGAAGACAGATACAGTGTGCTACAAACACTGCTTTATCATTCTGGATTTTTTTCCAAATGACTTATCCAGTGGCATACATCAAGGATTAACTGCTGTACTACAGCATCAAGCAAGACGACCTTATAAACGTGTAGCTAAGTAAATCTGCTTTACCTTTAAAGCATAATCTTTGCCACTTCCAAGATCTTGAGCTTCATAGACAAAAGCAAAACCACCTACAAGGAAAAGGCACATTAATTCAGTTTTAATTTTAGCATTCAGGTAAAAAATTTTTAGTCTAACAGAGGTAATACATGAATTTATATACTTTTCCAAATGTAAGAAGCACACATTTTTCAGTGGCTTGTCAAAAAGTATGGGTAACCTACCTACCAGAGCTAAAATACTGTCTTCCTCTCTTTTAGACAAGCCAAAAGCACACTGACTTACTTCCCTGTATTTTGTTAGTCTGCACACAGATTTCCTATGAAGCAAGTTTGGTTCTTTTTAATGTAGGTCCTTATAAAACCAAGATACAGCGTAGCAAATATTACCTAATTATTTTAAACAAACTATTTCTTGGTTTTACACTACTGGGCTTCCTATCAAAATAGGAATATCCAAGGGAGAAATTGTTAAATACACACTTTTGGGATGATTGCCACGATTCAGGCTTCAGGCTATTAAAAGCAGAAATCATTTTCAAGTGCTGAAGCACACCCTTCACTACCAGTGATGCTGTTACTAAGTCGAAATTTGTCACTGCATACAATGTTATTTTCATTCCAACTCCTTTCGTTAGAATATCTACTTCAAACACTACCAATTTGCTCAAGAACACAGCAAATTTGTGCAAAGTAAGACAGATTGAGAAAGTTACTTGTCTGCTAAATTTCTGTTAATTATGTTAGTATAACTGTATCAAAAGAAGATATTTGTACAGCTGTACTCCATTTTAAAGATCCCACTATCACGTCCATTTCTTCTGTGAATGTTGTCCTCTTCGTTACACTAACAGTGTGATTGCTTATATGCTCTCCATCTATTCCCCATAATACAGTAACATACAAAGTGACAAACTTCAATGACTTGCATTTCTACTCCTTTAATATGTTTAAATTTTCATTTAAATAAATTGGTAGTAAATAAATCATCCTGAGTACCATCACACAATACATGTGGGACAACCAGATGCTCAGGCCCAGTCAGCATGGGTTTATGAAAGACAGGTCCTGCCTGACAAACCTGATCTCCTACGACAGAGCGACCTGCTTATTGGATGAGGGAAAGGCTGTGGATGTTGTCTAACTTGACTTTAGTAAGGCCTTTGCCACCATTTCCCACAGCATTCTCCTGGCAAAAATGGCTGCTCATGGCTTGTATGGGCACACACTTCGCTGAGTAAAAAAACTGTCTGGATGGCCAGGCCCAGAGAGTTGTGGTGAACCGAGCTAAATCCAGTTGGCAGCTGGTCACGAGTGGTGTACCCCAGGGCTTGGTTTTGAGGCCACTCCTGTTTAACATCTTTATTGATGATCTAGACGAGGGGATTGAGTGCACCCTCAGTCAGTTTGCAGATGACACCAAGTTGGGTGGGAGTGTCGATCTGCTCAAGGGTAGGGAGGCTCTGCAGAGAGACCTGGACAGGCTGGAGCAATGGGCTGAGGCCAGCTGGAGGAGTTTCCATAAGGCCAAATGCCGGGGGCTGCCCTTGGGCCACAATAACCCCCAGCAGCGCTACAGGCTTGGGGAGGAGTGGCTGGAGAGCTGCCAGTCAGAGAGGGACCTGGGGGTGTTGATTAACAGCCGGATGAACAGGAGCCAGCAGTGTGCCCAGGTGGCCAAGAAGGCCAATGGCATCCTGGCTTGTGTCAGCAATAGCATGGCCAGCAGGGACAGGGAAGGGATCTTACCCCTGGACTCAGCACTGGGGAGGCCGCACCTTGATTCCTGTATTCAGTGTTGGGCCCCTCACTACAAAAAGGACATTGAATGACTTGAGCGTGTCCACAGAAGGGCAACGGAGATGGTGCAGCGTCTGGAGCACAGGTCATACGAGGAGCAGCTGAGGGAACTGGGGGTGTTTAGTCTGGAGAAGAGGAGGCTGAGGGGAGACCTCATGGCCCTCTACAGCTCCCTGAAAGGAGGGTGCATAGAGCTGGGGATGAGCCTCTAACCAGGTAACAAGTGATAGGATAAGATATAATGACCTCAAGTTGCACCAGGGAAGGTCTAGACTGGATATTAGGAAGCATGTTTTTCCAGAAGGGGTTGTTAGGCATTGGAATGGGCTGCCCAGGGAGGTGGTGAAGTCCCCATCCCTGGAGGTGTTTAAGTGTCACGTTGACATAACGCTGAGGGATATGGTGTAGTTGGGAACTGTCAGTGTTAGGTTAATGGTTGGACTGGATTATCTTCAAGATCTTTTCCAACATAGTTAATTCTGTGATTCTGTACTACACAGCAATTTTTTCTCTAGCAGTAGTTTGTAGAATAAACACAGATGACTGAACTACAAAATTTTTCTGGTCAAAAAGACTAAGAGAATAGCATAAATAAAGAATGAACCACCACAGACAAAAACCAAGTTGACAAGGCACCTTTTAAAAAAGATGTGGGATCCAAGTCAGTACAGTCACATTAGTATACAATACCTCCCCTGTGGATGAAGAATATTAACAAGAGGTTGAAGTGAACACTGTATTTGCTTTGTGCAATTCAAATACATGGCTTTTCAAGAAGTACTCTAAAGTTTTACTTGGCAATTGACCATCACAGTATTCTCCAAGACTCCTGAATGGTACTGCCCATACATCTTGTTACTTTGCCAGTAGCATCCACAACATGAAATGAATAAATGACAGATTCCAATATTGTCTTTCTTTTTGGTATCTAAAGGGAAATTATACACAAAACCAGAAAAACCACAACCCCAGTTACAGGGAGGAAAAGCAAAAGCAAGTAACTAGTGCACTACAGAAGAGAGTTAGAAGTGTCAATGATAACACTGAAGATGAGAGCAAGGGTTGTAGTTCAGTCCCACCATACATTACCCATGTGTGCATCATGCTTATCAGTTTACTTAGATTCTTCTGTAAAATCGGGTTCAGTACTTCCCACAGCAGGAATTTCCCATAGGTTTTCTAAAGCCCCTAGTGCAAGTATTCTGACCTGTAATTACAATCAGCATTTTGGTCATTAATGCGATAAGAGCTAGAGACAGAATGAAGTCCACACTTACCACCATCTTAAGAGTATTACCTGAAGACATTTTGTCCCTTCCTAAATGAGTACACATAGAAGAATATAGTTCTGGGTAGAACTGATCAGTTATGACTACTATGGATTTCATATAGGTATTGAAACAAGCAAGATAATCTGCGAGTTATCCTTCCACTGAAACTGGGTGCTGGGAAACCATAGTTTTTGACTGCTTTTCCCAATCAGTTCCCTATACACACCCAAAGGCATGCCCCAGGTTTCAGAGCCCACTGTCCCACTTAGTTGTGTAACTACCAGTGTACACCAGTCACTGCACCAGAGCTACTGCCCCTATATCTCTGTCCTACACAGATCCCACAGACCTTCTACACAGTGAAAGTACTGCTGGCCCTACAGAAGAAAATCTTGATATTCATTCTGATAAAAATGTATTTGATTTTATTCTAATAACCGTGCAAGCTACATCTTGAAAATACATGCATCGTGTTACAAACTTCTAGCACACAATATTAGTTTTTTGGAAGGTATTCAAGAGCAAAACTGTGACAGACACAACCCAGATTACAGAACAGTTATTCTGCAAATTCAGATCAGCTGTGTACACTAGCAAGGGTTCTACCAGGACTGAAATGGGGCATATCTACTCTGCATTTCAAGTATACACCTTGCTAGTACCTCTATAAACGTCCACAGACCTACATACATGCAGTCCAAAATATAACCATGCTTCATTCAAACGCACCAAATGCCCTCCTGGAAATTACATAGGTGAAAGCACCTACACATAAGAACTCATCAAATCAATTTAATGCACCATTTTCAAGCATATATTGGATTAACAATCAAGCTGATCCAAACTCTGAAGGCCCCTAGAAGCTCTGCTACCTTTCCAACTATTTCAGCTGGTGTGCTAAGCTTTCCTTACAAGTTCTTCCTCCAATATATGAAATATTTACAATATAGACAAAACTGCACATTATCACTAAGCTCAATCCTGTTGACAATGACTATGAAGGAGTAAAAGGAATTACTTTACCTGACTAAAAAAAGATAATAGTAAGTCTTCAAAAAAAAAGGCATATTTCAAATTTTCATGGAAGTGCTGATCATACATTCCTCCTAAAACTCTAGACATGTTCACAGTTGCCCTGAAATTCTCTCTCTCAATTTGCAAATGATCCTGAAATTCACATCTAGCACTCAACCAACATTTATGAAAACTACACAAGTTCATTTCTTTATGGAAAAGCCTTCTTTTAACACTCAGAATCACAATGCTACAGCCACCTCAGAAAGTTTTCTGAAGTTTAAGTAAACTTTGTTGCATTTAAAACAATCTAATTTCCAACCAAAAAAATTAATTTCAGTCATCTTATCTGCTAGCTAGGAATCTGAAGAAATTTTATTTTCAGCTTCATAACTACTTCAAAACATACACTGGTTGTTAAGTTTCAACACTCACTGAAAATCATAAAATGTTAATTTTGGCCTAGCAGTGCAAGTGAACATTTTGAGCAACACAAGCCATCTAAAAATCATAAATTCCTGCTAACAATAGAAGTTAATATAAGCTCTGCTTAAAGTCAAATAGCTATGCTTTAACCTAAGTAAAGCATAATTGACCTTATCTGGAAATCCAATCAAATCTGCACACAAAGTGTACAAACTAAGTTTCTGTTGAAGGCAAATTTAAAGCTGGCAAGACTCAACTTTTATATTAGCAAAATACTTGGTTTAATTACTATGTTTTCACAGCCTGGTTTAACAAAGGAAAAGCAATGAAGAGTACTCTTTAAGGCCATTTCAATGGTGGCATGGTTTACTGGAGTTCATAGCAATAGTTATGCAGTAGGATCTCACAACTTATACAGAGGTATTACAATAGTAAGCTAAAGGGAGAAACTTCATTAAAATAACAATAGCTTAACAGTACACAAGTAGCTGAAAAGATTTACTTTTACTTCAGCAATTGTCCCTTAAAATCAAGTGCTGAAATGCTAAATATATAGTTA